AGACGGATGGCAACAAGTGAGAGGGTTTCATCTGAAGGACAAACTGCCGTTGTTGTTCATCTTCGTCGTTCCAAACATAAACAAAATCACAAACGAGAGAAACGCGCGGCAACTCCAGCGGTTCTTCTCCTTCACCCACCTGATAACACTTCGGGAAGGGGCCTTCGTGCTGTCGAAGAAGCCTGAGGCCTGCTGTAATGCGGGAGCCAATAGTGGCCAGTAACGCAGGTAGCGAACCATGATTTCCCAAGGCACGTCGTCATAAACTTCCTTCCATCTCTCAGCTGGTCTCCACTGGACAGGCGCTTTGGCCAATTTTTCGCAAGCGGTTTTGATCAAGATTGGGGAGAGCTCGCCTCTGAAGAAACACTCTCCTCGTTCGATCGGGGCGAAATGCATTGCTCTGGACGGCTACTGTTCAGTCACAAGCACGCACGGCTTCAAACCACATGTGCTAGTTTGTGCGGCTTCCGGGTTGTGGCACTCGAAATGATTGTCCATGTGCTTGCACGTGACAAATTCCACATGTGTGAAAATGCGAACATGCTTTCGCAATCCGTCTTCCCCAAGCAGAAACACACAGTCTCTCGGACGCATTCCAATCTAGCAGGACCCGCTGCCATCAATGCAAGCACACAGACAGACACACAACTTTTCTTTGCAGCGCAGGATGAATCCTCTAGTTGTTGCCAGGCCTCCTGGTCGGGCCACAACAGGGCCTATGGTCAATGACGTGTTGTCTGGCCTGCGCTTCTGTCATCTTGGAAGCCACACGTCCCCAGTGATAGGGTACGAGGTGGCTCCACTCGCCTTCAATGCCAGACACACATGGGTTCATGTAATGTGACACAACACACAGCAGATCAGGCAACCACATCGAAGCTATAACAAATGTTCCGAATCTTTCCAAGAGACCGCCGTCTGTCACACGAACTCGGAGAAACCATTTTGCTTTGTCAGTGCCACCAGGATTCGGGTCGTACTTCATCTCACCAGCGATCTTGGGACACTCCGGGCATTGAACAGGTGTCCATACCCCTTGGTAGTCAACACGGTTCGGCCGCCGCTGATGTTGGGGGCCACGGACTGCAACCTCCCGTGGCTCGAGTGCTGGGATAGGCACTGCAGGCACCTCCGGCATCTCAGCAGGAGGGGCTGGCACTCTGCCTTCCTCGGGCTCCACGTGATCATCAGGCTCTGGGACAGGGATTGCAGCAGGCACCTCCGGCATCTCAGCAGGAGGGGCTGGCACTCTGCCTTCCTCGGGCTCCACGTGATCATCAGGCTCTGGGACAGGGATTGCAGCAGGCACCTCCGGCATCTCAGCAGGAGGGGCTGGCACTCTGCCTTCCGCGGCCTCCACGTGATTATCAGGCTCCGGCTCCACCGGCACCTCAGCAGGAGGTGCTGGCACTCTGCCTTCTGCTCCCTCTTGACCACTTTCATCAGGAGGCGCGGGTTGCTTCCTGGGCAACATACGTGGGCGACAAATCTTTCTCTTGGCTTTCCGTTTGGCCTGTGGCTTGGCCTTTGCTTTGGTCTTTGCTTTGGCCTTGCCCTTTGCCTTGGCCTTTGCTTGCTGCGTCTTGATGGCCTGCCAGGTTTGATGCACCCTTTTGATTCTGCGTTTTCTGACTGCGTCTGAGACCATTTTAAATTCCTGTTTGTCCTCAGCAAGCAGGTCGTCAAGAACCAGCTCATCAACAAAGTCCCCCATGATAATGTCATCCTCATCCTCATCCTCTGTTGAATCTTTGGCTGTCGAATACATAGCCTCAATTTTGCGCATGAAATCCTCATCTTCCGGAAGGTGATGAGAAGCGATCAGGCTCATGAGCTTTGGACGGCGCATTCGTTGCAGCTCCTTTCGCTTTTTTTCGTCTACGTTTCCAGTCTGGGAGATCACATGCTCGGCGAGATTCTGGCAGTCTGCGAGAGTCCGACATGCTTGTGACATTTCCCTCAGTCGAGTCAGCAAAAACAAGCACAGCAAAACTTATATAAGTTTATTGTACTATTTACTGTATGGGTCGACAGTTGACAGAATCCTAAATGAAAACATGTCACTTGGGATGCTGCAACATATAGGATAGAAGTGACACTGAGCTTGTAGCACAACGACGGAGGCAAATGAAGCCATTCCAGAAGACTGCCTCTGTTTCGATGACTTCCCAATACTGGGGCTCATACAAATGAATCCAGCAGGCCTTGACGCTGGAACCATCCGGGCACTCTGCCTTCAAAACAAAATATATCTCTCCTGTCGACTGGTCCTCATGCTGGACCACTGGCCACATGAGAGCAGCCCAGGTTTTTGCCCCAAGAGAGAGATAGCATGTCAAATCCAAGACATGGTTCAAGATCTTCAAAGGGGCTGCAAGGCTGCTAAACTTCCCAGCACGCAAGGGAACATGCTGAGATGCCAGTCTTGCATCATTGTAGTGAATTAGCCATGACCACGCAGCTGATGCTCGTTCGAGTGTCTCTTCTGACAGGGTGTTCCATGTCTTGTCGCCGACAATCTCGGTATACTGTGACGGCAGCTTGTGGACACATCCTCTGAAGCACAACTTTTGGCGCTTCCTGTCCACATTCCAAAACTCCCTTTCAAAATATTCCCGTTTGACTTTTGCCGGATGCCTGATTGAACGGCTTTCAAAGACGTTTGAATTCTCGATCACAGTTTGAATCGTGGAGTATGTTTGCTTGCGGGTTTTGTTCAACAAAGAATCATTACGAATCTTGTTGTGCACATCTTCCACAATCTTGTTGTCTGGCAGCGTCTGCACCAGAACACTCAGCAGGTGGGTTGCAGGGCATGCTGGTACCGATATTGTTACAGTCCTTTGAGCTGGCACTCTGCCCTCTTGCCCGTCTAACAAAATGTCACCAACTCCGGCACCGTCATCTGCTTCTTCAGGCACAGAATCCTCCATCTCCCCGTCCTGCTCTGTGTCAACATCATCCACGACAATGTCTTCTGACCCCGGAGGCGCCACTTCATATCCCTGTGCCTCCAATGTGTCCAGAAAAAGTCTCGAAGGATGGCTGATTCCAACTTGCAGGTCTGTGAAGAGTTGCCGGGCATGAACACTTGGAGTGGACCGTGCCAATGTCGACTCCAACCTCAAGAGTGATGTGTGATGGCCCTTTGCCTTCAAAGCCGTGATCGTCCGAATTTCTGCATCAGGTGACAGCAATCCCGCATAGGCATCTGGTGGAAGTGAAAAAAGACTGCAAGTCCAGACCCTGTTCATCAGCAAATGCAAGCTCAACATCATGATTTTTTCTGCGGGCTCGTGTAAATCAGTATCCAGATGCTCCTTCCACAACTCGGTCTTCTGCAGGTTGGAGACAATCTGCAACAAATGTTTGTCTGCTTTCCAGGCATCATTCACTGTCATCAACTCGGCATAACCTCGACCATCCTGCGGCGATTTAACGTTTTTTACTTGTTTCCCATACCATGTCCACAACGGTTCGGTCACTTTGTACAATATCTTGGAGTGATCGAAAAGGTCTTCTGTCATGAGATAGTATGCCAACTTGAAGCCCCCCATGCTGGCTTTCAACAAGCTGAGTTCTTTCCGTGGATCAGTGGCACGACCAGCCTGTGACAGCTTTTGCAAATCACCCAGTGCATCTTCCTGCCTCTCACCCAGTGCAGCATCTCACCATTGTCAGAGTCCGGCACTCTGCCTTCGGACTCTGGCACTCTGCCTTCGAAGAGCTCCTTGCCCGATTGTGTATTCGCCGAGTTGGAATACAGGCTGAGTCTTTCCCTTGAGCAAGGGCTGAAAGATTGATCTTCACCGAAATGATCAGCCATCAGCATTTTGAGGACATGAAACTCATGAAGTTGCTCACAACATAGCTGGTTCCAGCTGAACCATCTGGAGGATTTCACCAAGCTGCCCTTCTTCATGAAGGATTCGACATTTGCAAGCATATGTTCAATCTCATGCTCGTCACCGGATAGCTGCCTGTCTAAGTGAACAAACTTCGGACTTTTGCAAGTACTCTGAGCCTGAAAGTCACGACGATCACACATGCTTCGCATGCTCTCCGAGAAAACTACACGAGTGGTCAAAAGCTACCAAAACTGTTCTAGCAAAATAAGAGTACAGGGCATAGGGGAAAATGTTGATCACCCCGCCCGGACATCCCCAGTGACTTAGACTGGAAGATGTTCGCGTGTTCTCACGCCTTGAGTCGAACCTTTGAGCCTTGAGGGTTAGGGTCGGGTTTTAAGGGAAATCAAAAGTCGTTGGAAAATCAACTGCATCTGACGCTCGAATGCATTCACCAAGGTTCCACACCAAAGCTCAAGCAGTAAACGATCGAACATGCAGTTGCTCAGAATCACTCTTGAGGCATCGCGCAATCGAAGGCATACTCGAAGACCATTGTTTTCAATCGGTGCGTCGAACTGGATCTTGCCGTCTGAAGCCTGCACCACATGTTCACATGACGGTCGCAGTTGCCTCGAGACCCCCGGTGTGGGAGGGCGGGTCACAAAAGAACTTGAGTCGTAACTTTGCCGTGCAAGGATCTCATTCACACTGTACAGTGATCAAGCACTCAATCTAAAATCAAGCCGAGGTAAAATCAAGCTCAAGTGAAATCGTCGATCACATGTCCGCAAGGATTCAAGCGTTCAGAGTCGTACTGTTTTTCCCCCCCACCCCCCCTCAAGGCTCTCGAACACACTTTTGGTAGGACCCAAGCAGCGTGTTCTCACGCCTTGAGTCGAACCTTTGAGCCTTGAGGGTTAGGGTCGGGTTTTAAGGGAAATCAAAAGTCGTTGGAAAATCAACTGCATCTGACGCTCGAATGCATTCACCAAGGTTCCACACCAAAGCTCAAGCAGTAAACGATCGAACATGCAGTTGCTCAGAATCACTCTTGAGGCATCGCGCAATCGAAGGCATACTCGAAGACCATTGTTTTCAATCGGTGCGTCGAACTGGATCTTGCCGTCTGAAGCCTGGACCACATGTTCACATGACGGTCGCAGTTGCCTCGAGACCCCCCCCGAAGGAAGGCAGCCAGTCCGACATGTGAAGGATCACCAAGGTGTTTTGCTCGTCTCCTTCTCCCGGCGAGACATTGCCGACTCCCTCGAAACCAATCGCTGCAAGCTGACACGCGAATCCAAGAAAGCACTCCTGGAGTGGACCATGCGAAGGAAAATATCAAGCGGCAGATCGTCCAGCTTCAAAGGAACTCTCAGCTCCGGGCAGAAACTCGAGAAGTCGTGGTTGGTGATGGCATCCGACAAAGTGTTCTCATCTCTAGGCCTCCACTGCAGCGTGAGCTGCTTGTTCACTTTATGCAAAGCCGCTGCACAAGCCATCTGGATGCCCATCAACGGCCACTTAGTGCTCGAGCCCTTCTTCTGCAGCTTGCCAGTCGAAGAATTGTCAGTTCCGCCGCAAACCACAGTCCTGATGTTGTCGTGCACACCCGACGTCTCCTTCTCCAGGTGATCAAAAACTTTCAACGCAGCAAGCGAGGCCAGCAACTCCGCACTCGTCGATGCCCATTGGCTATCGCCGTCATCTTTGAAGAGGCAAGGCAGATCCTGTTGCGACACATCGAGGCAGAACCAGCGTGCAACTGACGGGTCCGTCCCATTCTCAAGCGAGTAGCCGCCGAGCACCACCAAGCCGTTTGTGCATTTTGCATCCGTCCTGAAACTCTCGCGCGGCGCCCGCCAATCCTGGAGCACACTGTGGAGTCCCCTGGACTCCGCAAGCTGTTCCCTGATATAAACAAGCGACACGAAGACCATCTCCGGAATCCTCGCCACAGTCCCCTTCTGCAAGACGGCATCAAAAGCATACAGCGGTGCAAGAAAAGGTTTGATCCAAGTCAACACCCTGGAGACAAAGTTGAGCCGTCCAAGGAATTCGGCAAAGCGCAGCCCTGAAGTGCTCTTCGATCTTATCTGAAGACAGCTCGGCAGAAGAGTAGTTCTGCATCTGCGGCTCAAACTCACTCTCATCCAGCTTGCGGAAGCGGTCCCTCGGCCGGAACACCTGCGGCGCCGTTGGCAGTGGCGAGTCGAAGCCCACCGGCATCCCCTCGGCATAACACTCTTCCCCCTGCACAAGAATCTCCCAGTCGGGGTCACCAAGTAGCCTCAGCGACTCGGCCAGCATGTACAAGTGGAACGGCTGCCGCTCGGGAACACGCAGCAGGTCTGAAGGCGCCCCTGGGATCAACCCGACGATCCTCTGCCTCAACTTCTGCAAGGCAGCCTCCGCGAAAGGAGAATTCTTCACATGGCCCGTCGCGAGACGGAACGCCATGTCCTTGGGGTCTTTCAGCTGATCAATCACAAAGTCTCGTAGCAATCCGCGAATTCCCTCTGCATGTGCCACCTCATCACTCGACGCCAACTTCTCTCTCGCCTCGGGAGCCCAACGGCCAGGCGAACACAACCCGAAGCCGTCCACAAACTCTTGCTTGCCCATTTCAAACTTGCAGATCATGGGCTGCCCGAAAGCGCGACTAGTCTTGGGGTCAAAAGCTTCCCTGGCCGACTCCTCATGATCGATCACCACGACCTCCTGAGCATCTCCAGTGCCTGAGTTGTCTATCGCCGGCACTGCTGCAGCCAAGGTGAAGTTGTCTGAGGAAACGAAGGATTCCGCTGGTGCCTCCCCCCCCGCAGGAGAGGAATCCAAGACAGGAAAGCCCAATGAAGCCAGAAAAGCCGAATCATCAACAGAGAGCAGGTGCATGTTCTGAGGGGTGTATGCAATGGCGATGAGACGATCCCCAACCCAAGGTTGGGTAGCATGCAAACATCCACGGGCATCCAGGTAGACGGGTCCGTCTTGTAAGGAGTGTACAGTGCCTGTGACGGGCGAGCCGTGAAAGGATCGCACCTGGGTACCTGAGTCATCCTGTATCCAAATGCCACCATCAGTAAAGGAGGAAACTGCTACAATCATGTTGGGCACAGCTGCATTTCGCGGATCACGATGAACCTCACTAGTCACGTTCTTTGTGAGAACAAAAGCAGCGTAACGGTGGTGCGGGTCCACGGAGTGAAGAAAAGCATTGATCACACGCATGGACTCGGGGAATGTAAAACAAGTGGACCGCGGTGCGGTGAGACCCTCCTGGTGCACAGTGCCTCCAAAGAAAGCGGTGCCAGGTTCTGCACTGCCCGTGATCTTATGAGGCCGAGTCTTAGGAAGCAAGTCGAAAAGAATCTGAACTGAAGCACGATCGAAAGAACCGCGTGCGATGCACTCCGTGGCAAAGGCTTCGGCGGATGAAGGGATGTTGGCTGGGATCAGGTCGGAGTCAGCCACGGCCCTCAGCTCAGGCATCACACTCAAAGAGAGACGGGCGAAGAAAGCAGCGAACTCCGAAGGGTAAGCCGCCGTGGCGGCCGATTTCCAAGTGCCATCCTGAAAACCGCAGGCTCGATCTGCATGTGAATGCGGACAGCGCAAGAGCGGCCCCACGTAGTCCCCGTCATCATTGAAACATGGCATCTGTATCCCAAAGTTCAATGCTCCGGGCAGATTGGATAACAAGCGAGTGGGTTTGCAAGACATAGCCCCGAAAAGGCATTGATGCAATGCCCAGCAACTGACATCGCCTCCAGCGCAAATCTGACGAACCTCATCAAAAGACCAAATGGAAGCAGGCCTCTCACCAGACGGCACACGGCCCAGATCCTCAGGGTGCTCAAGAATGAAGTACAAGCCCTGCTGCCTCTGTAAACGGATGGCCTCAAAAGATTGTTGCACGAAGAAATTTGCCAGCTCAACTTTTGTGCGATCTGAATCACGCAACCAAGGAAAACCCAGCAGATGGCCATGTGAACGAAGTGGGCGTGGGCCAAATGCCCCCGCAAAACGATGTCTAGCCCGCGAAAAAGTGGAACAAGGCGGGCTCAAAATAAGGATATCATAGGCTCCAGACGAAATGTCCTTGAAAAGACGCTCCCAAAGCCTGTGCGACGATAGGTCCTGTTCAGGACCCCGCAGCAAATCAAACTCATGCAAAATTAAATCCAGTCCCCGCGACGTGCAGAGCTGCTGTAAGTGTGATCGGATATCTCCATCCCGTGCCTGCCCAGCGAAAAGATACAGCACGGTGAGTTTGGAACGTCAGTTGGTGGCTTGCGCCCCGGTCGGTGCTGCCGCCTTTGCTGCCAAGCTCTGGAAATGCTGCCACATCGGATGGGACTGCATGCACCCTCGGACGCGACATACATGAACTCGACCGCAGCTGCCATCACAACCCTGAGCGTTATATGGAAAACAAATCTGACGTCCATCCGGCGTGTGTGTCCAGAGCGCATGATCACTCTTGCCCTTGCCACCGCCGAGGCCCTTGCCATCGCCCTTGGATTCATCGCGGTTGGCCTTGCCCCCCTTGCCGTTCTTGCCCTTTCCATGGCCACGTCCTTTGCCTGTTCGCTGCCACTTGGCCGGGCTCTCGGACCAATCATTGTCCCACTGTCGGAACCGTCGCTGTGGCCAGAAAGGATCTGGCCGCGGTGGAGGTGCAACCTGCTGAAGGGCAATGGGCGATGTGAAATACTGCTCCTTGAGCTGAGCATCGGACGTCACCTCCACGAGTGTATCCTTCAAAGGCCGATTGCCCTGTACAGCCCGTTTGATTGCCTCCTTTCGCAACTCAAACTCGAAATTCAGCAACACTGACCAAGGGGGCCGCAATGGTACATGTTCGGTCTGATTGCCCTTGCCCCCTGCCATCGGCACCTTCATAAGGTAAACCTTGTCAGACAGCAGAAAAGCAACATACTGATTCCAGCACTCGGGGTCCATGCCTCGCAAGAGCTCGCGGTTGCGATACTTGGTCGCCAAGAAGCACCACAAGTTGCACTCAACACGCATCACCGTGCGCAATTCCTCAGTGCCCTGAGGCAATGATCCCTTGACCTTTGTCCGCACGATGCGAACATGGCCTGAAGAATCGACTGCAGTCTGGATCCCCTGAGTCTTCACAGTCTTGCGTGATGTAACCTCGGACAGCGGCGAAGCCGTCGGCTCATGAGCCTCAAGCTCCTCCATCTTGCATGAGATGTAATCCTCGGAAGGCTCATGTGCATCTTCAAGCCTGCCGTGGGTCGCCTCGAAGGCGGCTCTCATCGCACTCCGATCTGTCTGTGTGACGGGCCTTGAAACCCCCAACACGCGCGCTTCCGCGCGAAGCTCCTGCTCTTTCGCGGCAAATTGTTGACATGCCTCCCAAGCACTAATCACAGCTGAGATCCCAGCGCGCTTATCAAGAGTGGTAGGCTCCAGAGCGAAATCGTTCTTCAATGCATCTCGTATCCCTGCACGGGTGTCCTCATAAGACTGAAACCGCCTCACAGTCTTGAAAGACTGTGTGAGTTTGTACTGCAATCCAAGCGGGACTCCAGCTTCCTGAAGGATGTGTGCAAGTTCAGCATCGACTTCAGTGGACAAGAACTTCGAAGCCGCTTCCTCACTCACTCCAGCTGGCAAATCCATGTCTGGAACTCACTGCAAGCTACCACCGAACACACTGTGTGAAGAAATGCCACTGTGTCTGAAGAGTCTGATTGGCTCACCTCAATTCGCACAACGTTAAGACAAGAAAGACATGTCAAAGCACTGCACCTGATACTGACGTGACTGCGGCTCTTCTCAATCTGATGCAATGTCCCAATCTGATACTCACGGGACGTGGCACAACCGAAGTACTTCCTGCTTTGACTCACGGGACAAGCCCCTGATGCGACGAAATTTTCACACCCCTCATGTGTCACGGCTCCACTGCATCTGAGGATGCGGACTCACTGCTGACCGCCCCTTGCTCCTTTAGCCGGGGCCTGCATAACTTACAAATTGCATCTGCAGAATCCTGAGTGATGCTGTACAAAGGAATGGTCTCCAAGCAACGCTCCTGCCTTACAGCACAAGTGCGTGACATGTGAAGACGTCTGTGCCCACTACGACTCACAACAACAAAGTATGGCGCATCTGCATCCTCCGGAGAAGGCGCCGGCTGGTCCTTCGGTGGCTCGGCCACCGCTTGCTGATGGCTTCCGGGGTCAACTGCAATTGCCGGAAACTTTCCTTGAAGACTCCAGCACAAGTTGAGTGCACACCACACCATGACATTGTGGCGTGCAACAGCCCCGTTAGAAACTCCATGTTGCTCCGCAAACGCCTTTAAGCGAAGAAGTAGCTCCTCCTCGATGTAGCCGGGCTGGTTCTTCCCAGTCAAGAGTGTTTCGCACACCTCAGCCTGAACTTGCTGAATAATTTGTCTGGCCGTCAGCACATAAGCGGTTGACCCCTGCCGGGCAGCCGCCCACCGTCCGAGAAAGTCGCGCTTCTTTTCGTCGATCCCAATTGCTGCCGCCAAGGATGGAAGGAAATGCCTCGGCGAGTGCCCGGACCAGAAGAGCGCCAGCTCCTTCGGAACCAGCTTCGTTGTCTTGCTCAGACCCCAGACTCCATCTTTCTTCCCCGGGACCGGCAGCTCCAGGATCACACGTCGTACAAGGTTGGCGACGCCCTCTGCTCCAACGTACTCCCTCGATTTGACTTCCCACGACTCACCAATGTCTGGACACAAGAAATCCCGAGCAAACTTGAAATCCTCGCTCATCAAGAGTTTGCATGAATGCGCAATCCAGTCATAGCCAGAAAGGCTTATGCTCCTCACAAGATATCCGTGCAGCTGCCCGATCCGTTTCCCAGGTCCAGAGGTCTTGGTCCGGGAAAGAACAAATTTCATTCCAAGCTGTGACAGCGTAACACTCGAAGGATCGATCCCCTGTATATCGTCACATCGCAGCGTTCCCCAACACATAAGCAAGAAAATGAAGCATCCGAACCGCAGCCCAGGGGGTGTCCCGACCTTCACCAGCAGAATCTCAGCCGAGAGCACCATTGCCACCGTAACGAGCTCCGCCTGCTTGACCGGCTCGGCACCTGTCTCCAATTGCATCGTCCATGCCTTCACAGACTCCACAAGTAAAGGATCCTCCGACAGCCTATCTGCTGAAGGCCTCTGCCCAACCAGCTCCAGCAAACCGAGGCTTGACAAGATACTCTGCGGAACAGTCTTCCCCATCGGCCTGATCTGATGCCTCTCATCAAAGTACTGCAGCAACAGCGATGCGTCTCCTGGCCAAGGTTTCCCAGTCGCCTGAATCATCCACTCGCGCACCGGCTCCCACGTGCGAGCCCGATTCTTCAAGGTCTTGCCGCGCCTGCTACCGAAAGCCCGTAGCCAGGCCGATTCCGCGTCAGCCAGCGACCCAATTCTCTCAGATGCTGGCAGATCCGCCTCCTGGATGTAGCCCGCGAGCTTGAGACCCCAGCGGCGCCTGCACAAGTCCTCTGCTTCCACACGCGCCCCTGTTCCAGCTTTGCGAAGCTTTAACTTCTTCTCAAGAGCAGCCAAACCCAGCACAGGGTCAGAAGCCAAAAGCCCCTCATACAAATCGGCAGCCGTCACACTGGGCCCACGACGGATATAAGGCCCACGTCGGACATTCTGCCCGATCTCGCGAACAGTCCTTTCCACTGTCCCTTGATGAAGCGCGCACCACTTATGCACTGACTCTGTAAGCGCCACACGATCCTCAATCTTAAGAACATCACTCATCGAATCATCCACGATTGCCTGTACATCCTCAAGCGTAGCTGCAGCCAAGCAAAAGTTTCCAATATGCAAGAAGACCTTCGAAACACGCTCGCAGAAAACAGGGTTGATTTCTCGAAGCTGCTGCCACTCCGAGCCCATTGCCGGAATTCACTCATGGTGAGCCATAGCGCCGGAGGTCCCCTACGCCCACCCACTCACAAAAGAACTTGAGTCGTAACTTTGCCGTGCAAGGATCTCATTCACACTGTACAGTGATCAAGCACTCAATCTAAAATCAAGCCGAGGTAAAATCAAGCTCAAGTGAAATCGTCAATCACATGTCCGCAAGGATTCAAGCGTTCAGAGTCGTACTGTTTTTCCCCCCCACCCCCCCTCAAGGCTCTCGAACACACTTTTGGTAGGACCCAAGCAGCATCAACATACAGCGTACGATACATCACAGTAGCGACCACTTCTTACTACAGTACACGGCTCAACAAGTCAGCGTAGCTACGATCTAAAGTCGTCTATACACTACGCGCACTCCATCAAAGGCTCGGACAGCCTATGACGAAATGCAAGCTTGACTCACCCAAGCGTAGGCGTTGCAAGTTCAAGCGCTCCTGTCAAGAACCAAACAATTCATGGCGGATCATGCATCATGCTTAACATTGATGCCCGGGATTATAGCGGCCTAGTTACCGCTGAAAGCTCATCACGAGACTTTCTTTCGGAGTCATGACCGCTCCACGGTCAACACAATCGTTGTTCAGACATAACTAGATTGACACCAAAATGGTGTATCGTGCACAGTCTTGCACGCTCCAAGGATGGTTCACACATCAAGGTCAAGAATGATTCACAGGTGGTTTTCTGAAGCTATGTACAATCGTCGCTGGTCGTCAATGACACACACACAAAGGTAGTGCCACTGACTATGTACAGATGGCCAATGCATCAGCATCATGAGCATTCAAGACACAAGTGTGTTGCGACACGCAATCCAAGGATCATCACTTTTGTTTCTTGCTGCCACCAAAGCAACTTCCGCACGGCTTGTAACCTCGCTCACGGGCTGTGGCGATTCCAAGCTTCACGATCTCATCAGCATTGTTCAGACAAGTGCAATTCCTGCTTTTGTGGTACGACTTGCCTCGTCTCAAAGTGCAATAAACATGCAACTCAGGCACATGCTGGATCACATCGTTGGAACCGCGTGCGGCATCGCCATCTATGAAGATAGCACGGTTCGGCTCTGGCACTGGCATCGTTCTCTCTTTTGCTCGATCTTTCGCCTCGTGGTATTCTCCCCAAGCGATACGGTCGTAGTTCATTTCAGCGATCAATCTGCTCAAGCGCTCGTTCTCCTGCTCAGCGGCATGCAGTGCGGCTCGCACCCGTCGCAGGCACATCATGATTGCCAGGCAGAACGCTGAAAGGCTGCAGGTGAAAGTCAATGGAACCCAATTCCACCAACCGTCGGTTCCCTGCTCGTACACTTCTTCAGTGGAGGTGCTGGCATTGCTCACGTTCAAGGTGATGTCATCTTCATTGCCCTCTGTGGTCCATATCCGCCCAAGGCTCAAAGATTTCAAGGCAAGAAGGATAGCACATGTGCAAATCACCAAGACGGCCAGCGACTGCGCCCACCGTGCATCATCATCGGTCTGCACACCGACTTCACGCCTGGTACCACTGCTCTCGGCACCTTGCACAAGCGACAGCATCATCACCATCATTGCAGTGCTGAAGCTTTGCATCCCGTTGCTCTTCAGCGTCTTACACACAAGTCTGCGAACTCTCTGTGTTTCACGCTCACGCTGCAACTGCTCCAACAACGCATCATGCTCTGCACGGCCTACCTCCTCTATGCAGTCACCCGCACAGCACACAAAGTCATGCATGCACAACAAAGCACGTAGGCGGGATCCTGAGCACGGCACCTTGGTTCCCAGATCCGATGGGTTCCTTCTCCCATCGACCGGCTGTACACGGAGTGTGCGATCGGCTGTCTTCTCCTGCACCCAGAGGAACCTTCCATCAAGATGCCTGATCTTTGATACACCCTGCTTCAAAGATATCTGGCGACAGGAGCTGTTATCAGTCCTCATCAAAAGATCTACCGGTAGTTCAAGCAGGTATTCAAGAACTCTTTTCAGGTAGATGCCGTCGCACGCCGCGGATACCAGGGCGTAAAATTCGCTTTCCGCACTACTGAGGCTTACGCAGCGTTGGCTCTTACAGGAAGTATAGACGCAGCAGCTGTTCAAAAAGAACGAGCTGCTGCTCATCGACCGGCGAGTCTGCTTGTTGCCGCTCCAGACTGCATCACAGAACACCTCTAGCCGAACGCCATCAAGACACTCCTCGGCATCAGGTGGCTCAAGAATGCTTGCTCGATCGCCCTTGGCATGCACCTTGCTTGCGTAGCCGGCCGTTCCAACAAGATACCCTGCAAGGCGTTGCGCAAACTGCCAGCCGCGCTCGGTCGGTGCTTTAAGGTTCTGGGCTAACACCCTCACCGTGAAAGCAATGTCACTCCGATCCTGTGACACATACATGCCTATCCCAACGGCGCTGCGGTACTTGGCTGCTCGAGCAGAGTCCAGCTCCTTGCTTGCATCCGGCATGAGAAGCTCCTTGGTGCACGGCGTAGGGAACTTCCGATGCAACGGCACATCAAGAAGGTTTGCCATATTCACAGCATGGTCCGCAAGTGGCTTTATCAAGATCCCATCATCAAGAATTATGTGCTCTCTTTTAAGAAACTTGAAGCTGTCTCCAGGCATGCAGGCTACCTCGTAGGACACTTCAAAGGTTTTCTCAAAGCTTGGGACTAGCTCTTTAAGAAGCCACTGGACAAACCCAACCAGGCACAAGTCATCTACATGTATCAACCCGGGGTTTACACGGCCCTTGGGATCAACGATCTTATACACCGATGGGCACTCAGCACAGCTTGTGAGCTTGTGCTCCTCGCGGATGTAGTTCATGATGAATTGATGCCATCGGGCTGTCCCGTCCCGCTGTCCAGGGAGCATCTTGAGAAACCGCATTCGGCTTGCAAATCCAGGGATCTTGGCCAGCATGGGACGCTCCTGAGGGACGTTAAGAAAAGCGTCACGCACATCAAGCGCGATCACTCCTATGCGGTCGGTCTCATCAGGAGACTCTCTGGCTCGCCGGCTGAGCTCGCAATACAGCCACGGCAAAAGCTTGGTGGTGATGGCTGACGTTGCTGGTGCATAAAGATCCTCTCTGTCCCGCTCCAGCCACCGGTACTCGCGAGCTACCAGCCTGGACCGTCTAAAGTACATCATCTTGTCTTTGTGCAGTTTCTTACGCCATGTCCTCACGAACTTCGAAGACAATTCCTTGTGGTCCGACGTGTCCACTTCATCCCCGATCTCCTCAAGGACGCCTTTGCGAAGCAAGCGTTGCACCTCGAAAGAATCAGCGATTCGATCAAGCTCCTCTTGCTGTTGCTCGGACAAATCAGGGATCGAATCATACCAAAGACACTCTTCGTTGTCAAGGGCATGGCTGTCCTCAGTGTTGGTCACGTCCCATTCAGCTGCAGCCTCATCTGACAACTCAAGATACCTTTCAGCATCCTCCCACTCAGGGGCTGATTCAAGAACCTCATCATTGATGGGAAGCTCCTCAGCGCCAACCCTGGCGATGCGCTGGTACTTGGATGCCTGCCCACTGGGCTGCAAATCGATAGCATCTTGCGCCCGCTTTGCAACATCGATGAGAAGATCATCATCTGTCATCGGTATCACCGGCGTTCCGCCTTCAGGAGACGGCGGATCAGAAGCAGCAACTTCCATTGGTGATTCAAGCGGCGCTGGGACTGCAGCAGGCTCAACAACACTTGTCGCAGCACGATCAGACCGGTCAAGAAGAAGCGTGGCTCTCGAAGAAGGCGCTGGGGTCCCCGCCGCAACGCTTGGCGGTTGCACTGACTCAGCTGGCACAGGTGCAGGAGGGATCCCCGCCATTTCCGGCATGTCTGGCATTCTTGGCGCCTCAACCTGAACCTCACCTTGGGGAGCATCGGGCTCACCCTTGTCAGCTGGCTTGGGCACGCGATGCCTAGCCTGTGGAACAACCTTTGTGCCAAGCAAACCAAGCTGATAATCCCAAGGAAATCCTTTGGCATCAATCGCCAGACTCTGCTCGGACTCCCACGACTTGTCATTTCGCCTGATTGACTTGGTGAGCCACACTCCTGCAGAGTTGCACAAAACATATATGTCATTGCTTGGACTCTTAGTCAGCATGAGGGCTCTGTGCCATCGGCGGTCGCCTTTTTGCTTCCCTTTTCGGTAGCCCCAGACGGGCTCGGCATACATTCCAAGCTTGCCTGAATACCTGAACCCGGTTGCTCGCTCAAAAGCGGTGGCACCTCCTCTGACAGCAAACCTGTTAAGGATGAACGCTGCATGCACGTAACTCCATGCCATCAAGGGGTGACTGGGTCCTAGGTAATCAGGGCCTAAACCGAACTTGGCACGGGCCTGGTCAAGGAAAACATTGGAAAGCCCTCGCAGCAGATCAACCGTCTTTTCCACATACCCTTTGGAGGCATGGGACTCGACAGCAGCATTGCGCACAACGGTTTTGAAGTTCAATCTTGTTCGGACACCGATGATCAAGTTTTGCAGCGCGACAGTGCTTGGCTCATTGTCGGTATGGAGGGCAATCGTGTTATGCCCCAGCGACTGCACAAATCTGGTCAGTTCGATCGCTGCAAATTTCAAATCATCTTTACCCTTGCTTGCAACCGGAAGTCCGAAAACTGAACCTGTCGCTGTATCGTGCGCTACTAAAATTGTGAGCTTGTGGTGCTGAAGGTCTGAATCATCTGTGGTCACGGAAGTGTAACAGAAGTCGAAGCTTACAATTGGAGTGTCCCGGTCGGGACTGTCGGGGATCGACTGGTGTCGGTCCTCAAGCCCGCGCATGGACAAGCAGTGATCACACCAGCCTTGGAAAGGCCAGTGAGTGAGATTGTGCAAATCACGTTCGGCCTTCGATGGCTCTTTGTTCATTGCCTGACCTTTTGCAACACGCGTGCTGTCGCCTTCGACTGCCTGAGCAACCTCACTCTTCAGAGCAATGTCCTGCTTCTCAAGATAACACTTCAACCTGTCAAGACAGCGCTGCTTGCTCCCAGACTGGGAGTGCACGAAGCTCTGATGATATTCAAAGTCGATGCCAAAGACAACTCGACGCCATCATACACCAGAACATCTCGCTCACTCTTGCGCTCCGGCATCGGCGCATCCGCAACTTCAACATCAGGCAAGGGAGACACACTCACCTCGGCGGGCTCGAAAGCCTCTGCCATTCCATCATCACTGGGCTCATATTCATCAAGCTCCCCTGCATTGGGATCTGCTGGCTGCGGCCCGCTCCAACTGATGTAGTCCTTGACTGACCTGCTTGGCATGATCATCATGTCCTCAAGCGGTGCTCGATCAGTCGTGAGCACACACACAACATCGGATTCCCCGTGCGGTAGCACAGCAGACAACTCCTGAAGCTCACCCCAGCTCACACAGTGTTCAAGCAGGAGCCAGTGGTCGTAGCCGTCTCGGCACGGCTTCACAAGCGTGGTTCTGCATGGCCACCCAACAGGGGCAACGATGGAAGGATCGATGAAGTGCGACCCTCGGCCGCGGAAGAACATATCACCCTGCTCTGACATCTGCCATCCAAACGGTGCATCAATCATGCTTGCATCAATCGTTGCTTGAACAAACCTGACATGGAGTGCAGGATTCACAGACTGCTCACCGACACGGTAAATGGCAGCTTTGATGCATAGCGAATTGCCCTTGAAGCTCATCGGCACTCGGATGCCACTGTCATGCTCAAGACACATGGTGGGCTTGCGCTGTGGCCACCACCCAGCACGCATGAGCTTGCCCTTGCACAAGAGAGGCTGAGTGACAGGTGCAATCGCGCAAACTTCTCGCCACACAATCGGCTCACCTTCTTCACTCTGCAAAACGAAATCAACTTCTCTCAAATCGTTCACAGCAAGTGGCTCGCCCTGTGCATCTTTCAATGCCAAGCCTCCGGCGCCCTGACTGGTGCCATGCGTGGCATAGCAAAGTGGCAGGCAACTCATGTCTGCTCCACTGTCAAGGATGATCTCATGAGCTTCTGAGTCGTGCACCAACATGTCGATGGAATGCACTGCGCACACAAACTGAGGAATCCCGCTGCAGTCTGACTCGTCCTGAAGATCAAAGGTTGATGCAGCTATGCACCACGACCCTGCATTGGCATCACAAGCTGACATGTCGAAGCTGTGGTCACACTCGGACCCGGGACCCTCTGGCACACTGCACTGATCGTAAAATTCAAAACGACCTGTGGGGACTGGATTGCCTCGGCTCTCAAACCCGTTGAAAATGTTATCAAGACAATCGCTCAAGCCATCCGAACACTCGAAGCGCTCAACTCCCGAAATTGTCAAGACATCTGAAACTGGATATCCCAAGCCAAGGTGGCTGGCACGCATTGCATCAAGAAAATCAAAATCTGAAAATTCTGAAATCCCTCTCGGCATGCAACCTGTGGGGCACTGGATTGCCTTGGCTCTCAAACCCGGCTCGGCTATAACGGCACGCACATGGCCGCCTGCAAACCAGCTTGACGTGTCACCAAGATCAAAGACCTGCACACGGCGAACGGCTGTGGTTGCCGTGCTCGATGCTGCAGCCTGGCTTGCACTGTCTGACGGCTGTACCTCGGAAACCTGATTGACACGGCCTTTCTCATGCTTTTGCTTAAGCCAGCAATCCTTCTCCAAGTGACCCTTGCGCTCACAGTAACGGCAGGTGCGAGTCTCAGTTGCAGGAGGCGGACCTTTGGGAGTGTTGCCGCCTTTGCCCTTGCCTTTTGGCTTGCCCTGGTTCTTACCACCTTTACCGCCTTGTGGCTTGCCACCATGACCTTTGCCTTTTGGCTTGCCTTTGCCTTTGTCACCTTTGCCCTTAGGCTTGCCCTTATTCCATGCGACACGATCAATCTCCATGGGCGCGGGACCGCCTGAGGACGAAGATGCAATGCCAAACGTGCTGGCAATCGAAGTGCTCCACTTTGTCTGGGAAGTGTCCCAGCGCTCAATCAAATTCCGAAGATCCTGATACGTGGAGCTTTCTGTGATCAAGACGGTGGCCTGGGTCCTGAGTTGTCCGGACAGACATCGGAGAACGGCGGCCAAACGATTGTCGTCTGACATGCTAGTGCCAGTCAAGCCTTCATATTCATTCACCGCACTCTCGAAGCGGGTGAGTTGGGTCATAAGGCCGGTCCGGTTGTCAAATGCGGGCCACGAGTGTATTGCTTGCAACAACGCCAAAATGCGATTGCGCGAACTCGGCATTAAATCTTGACTGAGGATTCTATATGCCTCAAACCCGTTTGCATCTGTCAAGGATTTCAAGACTCGCTTGCCTTTGTCATGCAAGAGCCCGGCTAAGACACCGTAAAGAAGTCGGGACCTGTCTGCTTCAGCTTCAGTCAAGGATGCAAGTGCAATCGGATTGGCAGGCCTACGACGGATTGTCTGAAGCTCCACGCCAAATGCTCGATCAAGACAAGACAGGTACTGTTCCAACTCCCAAGACCAATTAGCCCACAGTGAAAGCTCTGCATCCCGGTCCTTGGGACGGAAAGGCTCAGGAGCCTTGAGGACCTTTGCAAGGTCGCGCCCTCGGATCGCCTGCTCCCTAGGCGCTGCAGTGTTGTTGGAAACAAGGGTTGTCAGGTTTTCCAACACTTGCATCAACCGCTCCTCGTTCGGCGGTGCTCTGCTTGCAGCAGACGCTGGGGAAAACGGGTTCCCAGGAGGCACAAATGCCCCAGCAGGAGCTCCAAGCTCCTCATCACTATCATCGGCACCCACTGCGGCAGCAGCCGCATCAGCATATATCTCTGCCATTGTTTCTAATCAAGATCAATGGTGCAATCGGAACCTTCGCGGTGCAATGGAACACGAAACGCAGCTGAAGAACTTGCTTGATCAGGCGTTGATTGCTCAAGATCAATGATTTCCGAACTCCCACAAGAAGAAACCTGAGGAAAACCACCTAGACTAGCGACAAGGGACCTTTCAAAGTCCGGCGCCTCGGTCTGGGCGTGCACAAAGGATTCTTGCAATGAAAACGGTATGCAATTGGCAGTACAGATAGCAGCTCCCTCGCAAAAGAACTTCTCTTTCCACTCCTTATCTCTCAAACACTTGCTTGCAAATTTGTAAAGCTCAGGCACAGTGTGAAATGATTGGGCTCTGGCTTCGCACGCGGCAAAGCTGGTACGCAAAATGCGCACAAAGGACTCCCTGCTTCTACCCTCGGGCTGAGGTCTCGCCCAAAGCTGCTCCTCGTACACAGACAAGAGAAGCTCACGCAGCAACTCCACTCCTGCTAAGGTTGTCGTGATTTATTGTTCAAGCAAACAAAGCTCGTGGCAGCTATGGCTCGTCCAGTCGGCGCCGGGATTGCGAAGCTACGGCACTACAGCCTAAGTTCACCGAAATCACGCAACACACTCAGAGGAACGCTGCCACAGCCTAACAGCCTGGGCCCCTGAACTCAAGCCCACAAGAAGTCCACGTGTCCCGAAGCTGGGTCGGCCCAGCTCCGCTACCATGAACAAACTTCGGACTTTTGCAAGTACTCTGAGCCTGAAAGTCACGACGATCACACATGCTTCGCATGCTCTCCGAGAAAACTACACGAGTGGTCAAAAGCTACCAAAACTGTTCTAGCAAAATCAGAGTACAGGGCATAGGGGAAAATGTTGATCACTAAGTCATAGGCAATCTTATCTCGAAAAGCGTCCCACAACAAGCTTCTGCTCGGTGATGTGCAGGAAACAAAACTCGCCAGCATTTCCTTCTTCTGCTGGTAGAAACCACCACTTCCAAAGGGTTTATAATTCAGGGCAAAGATGTAAGAGGAGTGAAGTTGTGCTTTCAGGAAGAGTCCTTTGAGGCATCTCGACATGCTGTTTTTGAAATCTCGAATGGCCCTGTGAATCTTGTCACATTTCACATGAATCATGTTTTCACGCATAGCATAGGCCATGCCAGCAAGTCCGATGCTGCCCTGGTCAAGGCCCAAGACCAGCAGTGGAATGTTCAGCCACCACTTCTCTGACTCTGGCAAGACGGGGAGCACATTTGTGATCTCTCCATCCTCAGACATTGTCTTCAGAAAGGAGACATGAGGAAAAGCTGGTGGCACTCTGCCTTCTGGCACTCTGCCTTCTGGCACTCTGCCTTCAGCCGGATCCGGATTGTCCCTCAACCACTGAAAACAGCGGTCAATGTCATTGTCTTCTTTTCCAACTTGGAAAACCACCCTGCTTTCATATCTTTTCACAGGCCTCTGCCCAAGAGAGGGGGCGATCTTGAAAGAGCCCAAATCCATTCGCCCTCTGTGCAAAATCCAGATTTGGTGACTGATCGCTTGAAGCTGCCTGAATGCAGCAATCCTTTCCAGCTTCTTTCGCTTTGATATGTGAAGAAGCAGGTCGTCGTCAAACCGGTCTTGTGGAGAAACTTGTCCAGTCTTCATCACTTGCATGGGTGCAAACACTGCAGCAGAAATCTCATTCGCCCAAGCCACTGTCACAAGACAATCGCTGGTGCTGTGAGTAGACCCATCGGCGATGAAGTTGATTTGTCGACAGTGCTGCATAGCAGTGATAGCTCTCTCCTGGTACAACCGATTGATTCGAAGCTGCCACTCGTCACAGCTGGACTCAGGCACACCTGAGCTGGCAAGTCAAAGAGCGATCGATTCGTTCGCTGCAATCGTTGAGATACAAAAGTACAACTTGGACTTCAACACTATGCGCAAGCAACACCATTCTTCGGCCTCCCATGGAAGAGCTTGGGTCACCGAGGCTACGTCATTTTCGGGAGGGGCCACCTGGCACGTTAGCGCATGTGTCCAGATGTCATAGCCAGATGCCCGCTGGCCGTTGGCCCCAACCCCCCCCTAGACTGCGGGACCCCAGTGCCCTTGCCCTCGCTCCACACCCGGCCAACAGTGTGTCGGTAGCTGCCAAAATTGGCGGGCATGCAGCTGCCGCTTGGTAGAGCAACATACACCAAACCCCATTCTGAACATGTTGGCACTCGTGACAAACACAACCGAACAGCAAGCCGAGCAAGGTTCTCTGCTCAATAAGACAACCATGTCCCAAGAACGGACGGCCTCCCTTCTTTGTTCGGAACCTGGAAGTCTGGCCCGGACAACACGATCCGAGGTCGCAGAAAATCCTAGCTAGGTAAGGCAACCTTGAGGAGGTTCGACTGACACTCTAATTACTGTACTTCTGCTCGATATTTGGCCTCCCATGTTGCTGAGGTGGACACTCGGGTGCCGAGCTCGGACCCAGCCAGCACGTTGGCATATGTGTGACTGGCTGTCATCACCAGGTGTCCGCTCTGGTGGTTGGCCCCAAGTCCTCGATCGGTTCCTTCTTCCGCGGTCCGCCAGAGCGACCCCATGCCCGGCCATCGGCATGCAAGCGCGGCTGGTGAATCAAAACTGGACACACCGCGACTTGTTGGTAAGGTTGGTGTGACAAAGAATTCACTATAATCTTAAACAACTGGCTAACAAAACAACATTCTACTATGAATGAGACGGAGGAACACACCAGCTCAACAACACAGCCATGTCCCAAGAACGGCCTCCCTTCTTTGTCCGGTATTGCTTCCGGTGACTTGCATGACTGCTTCGATGTCACCAGGTCACAGCCCCAGCCGGCGCATTAGCCCATGTGCCCGGCTGTCATCTACCCCCTGCCCCTGGGATAGGTTGGCCTCAAGGCTGTGACACAGGCAAACCGAACGCCTCACACATGGCCAATGGTGTGGGGAGCAACCCTGGTGGGGCAGGGGTTTACTCCTTAGGTAAGGCAACACCGAAGAGGTTCGACTGGCACTCTGCCTCGGCACTCTGCCTCTGTCGTCGATCCAAGAGAACAGAAAGCATGTGCTCAGCAGAAAGAGATATAGCCTAATCATGGGTTAGCGGCCTCCCCCATTTGCTGAAATCCACCCCACTCGGCCAAGGTGGGTCGCCATGCTCACAGGGAAATTAAGATGCCAGCGCTGTGCCGGATCCCGTCGCAGCTGTTGCTCAGCAGGCCATTGGCACACCTGCGATGTAACAGATCCCGGAGACTTGGTTTGCTTCGGCGTAAACATCGCCCGCAACGCGCCGATAGAAACAAACCAGGCACAGGCTAACATCACCACCGTGAGTAGCAGGCTCAAGGCACAGCTGGCGGCTGGGGTAGTGGTAACTTACAGCAGGATGCTATGCTGCCACTACAGTTACAGGCCATGCCAAACGATCAACGATAGACCTGATCCCAGGGCCACTTGCGCGCAAAAGTGAGCACAGGCAAGAACTGAAGAAGGCACTATCTCACCCTTCTCTTTACAACACAACTCAAGCGGCCTCCCTTTTAGGATCTCACCGGGGGGGGAAGGACACACCCGCCCCCCATTTAAGCCACCCCCAGCAGGCGCATTAGCGCATCGCCCTGCTGTCATACCCCTCGGGCTGTAGGGGAGTTGGCCCCAAGGGTGGCCGCCACGAGGCCACGCAGGCGTCAGTGGCCAAGCTTTCAGCTCCGGATGGATCGCTGCCCCCAACACGGCCAACAAGATGGAACCTGGCAGGTCTCTAGGGCCCCCTCGGCCAGCCCGCTGCTCAGGTTTAGGTCGGGCAAGCGAATCGACAAGGACGTTTATGATCAAAAGCAAGCACAGCAAACCACTAAACCCTACTAAAAAACCCTTAGAAGTTTTACTGGCACTCTGCCTTTGGCACTCTGCCTTTCATAAATTTGATCACAACCTGACACTTAATGACTACTCACTCGATTCGGCCTTCCATGTTGCGCACTCGGTCGATCAACAGTTCAAGAGCCTCCCCTGCTGCCACCGAGTGGGTGACTGAAACAAGAAGAAGACTGTTAGCAGACATTCGGCGGCAGTTTGATGCAAACATCGCACTGGAGAAGAGATTCTTGGCCATTTCGAGAGGACAGGATGTTCTGCGCCTTTGCGAAGTTGACCCGTCGCTTCTGGAGTTCCATAATGAAGGTCCTTATGAAGTTCTGCCTGAGTGCAACTATGATGTGATTCTTGAAGCCAGTGGGTTTTCCTGGATGATATCAATCTGGCAACAAATGTTATCAGAAACTTTTCCCATCATGACTTCGTGGCCATGGAAGAAACAGATGAGATTCCTCATCAACTTTTGTCATTGGAAGCGGAACATAAGGCAGAGTGCCAGGTTCCACTTCCTGGAGATCTTTGCAGGGCAGGGCAACCTCAGTCGGGAGATGCTCCGTGCTGGCTGGCAGGGGCTAGCCTTGGACATCAGGTACGGCACAGATCATGATATTCTTTCTGTGAGAGGACTTCGCCTGGCTGTCAATGCTGTGTGTCAAACACACAAACACGGCCTGTTGTGGTTTGGAACTCCATGCTCTTCCTTCGTCCAACTCTGTAAATACAGTACTGGAAGGTCCATTGCCAATGACTGGATGGGAGAACCTGAGCGATCGCTGGCATGCCAAGAAGGCAATCGTTTCATGTATGTGACGCTGCTGTTGACTTTGCTCGCGGCTTTGAATGACAACCGGTTTGTGATCGAGCAGCCTTGCTCCAGCATGCTGTTCGACATTCCACTCGTCGATCGTGTCATGGGAATGATCCAGGCTATGAAGGTCAAAACCTATGGTGGTGCCTTCGGCCAGCCCATCCTGAAACCGCTTCAACTGTGGAGCAACTGTCAGCACATCAATGGTATGCGGCGCAGCTATCCTTCCCATGTCAGAGGAAGTGCTGGTTGCGTTGATCGAGATGGTGAGAAGTTCACCGGTCGTCCTGAAGATCTTCAGGTGTCAGAGGAGTACACCCCGGAGTTCGGCAAGGCTGTGGCCTTTCATATGATGAGGGATGTCCCAACATGAATTGTAGCTGAAGGCAGAGTGCCAATAAGGCAGAGTGCCATAATTCTCTAGAGTTAAATGAGCTTGCTTCATCTTTCGACATTCTGTCTTGTTGGTATTCTGCTTTCCAATGTTGGGACTGGGTTGAGCCCTGGACCCCGTCCGTTCCCTCCACGAGGTGCCGAGGAAAATCCTCGCCGCCTCGTGGAAGGATCTGAGTGATCCGAGCTGGTGCAGCTGTGCAATGAAAATGTAGAGAGCTTCAGTCACTCCGTGATCAGATGTGTTTGTCGGTATTGTCTCAGTTCGTATGCTGCTGTCGTGCAGGTGGCAATGACCTGGCTGGTGTCTCGACCTCCAGTTGCAGGCATCGGTGGCCTGTGTTAATCATTCCATGTGGTTGTCAGTTCAGTGCCATCTGCGATAGTTTCCTGTCTCAAGTTCGAGTGACATGATGTGGCTGCTGACATGTCATCGTGAGTCTTTGGGTTGATTTCTTAAGAATTCAATGTGTTGTGAACTGGGGCTTGTTACACAAGTGCAGGTGTGTGTCAGTATTTAGTAAGATTCAAGTACAGTGTTGCTTTGGAGGATTTCGGTGATGCTTCTGAAACTGTGGGTCATGCTATTGCTCCGTGATGGGCAATTGCTTAACTTGGAAAATGATGCAAAACTGCCAGCGAGAGCAGCTTGGCTCTCACAGGGCGAACTGTGGTGGCGTCTGGACTTGTTTTTCGATGAGAGCAACAGGAACGGCTCAGAACGTCGACAGTACCACAAATGGTACAACTTCTTCAGTGATCTTCTCAGGAAGACCCCCTTGGCTGCGAACTGGGGGTCACATGTGCAAAGTCAAAAAGGCAGAGTGCCAAACCCTGATGCTGTGCAGGAGGATGTGGCATCTTCCACAGCCTTGGCCCGATTCATGTTGCAAGCATCCTTCGACACAAGGACAGACGCCCACAGGGAATGGTACAAGAGCAAACTGAAGGATGCTATGGTACGTGTGTGTGAAACTATCAGTGATGAGCCTCTGGTCATGCAGTTGGATGAAGGCAGAGTGTCATGGTTTCTTCAATCAGCTGGGTTGGTGTCAGGCTTTGCCGCTTGGATGATGAAGTCGCTGGCAGGCAACACGTCCCGATCTTTGCGTCAGCTTTGGGAATCTATGTTCAATGCAAGGACGCTGTCTTCATCTCTCCGAGATGAATCTGAAGGCAGAGTGCCACGAGATTGGGAGGAGGTTGAAACTAGCATCTACGACATCATCGCCTTTGCAACCATGGCAAAAAAACACAGAGCGCTTCAACCGTCGGGGCAGGCTCATGGATTTGCCAAGACAGTCTTGAATGCCTTCATGCACATACATGAGTGTCTGTCCGAGACATTGTCAGCCGGCCTCCAGGTGTATGTCATTGGGCACTACTTGAGTGTACATGATGCTGGTGTGCCTGTGACGTCTCGCAGGGCACTTCTGGGCAAGCGTGTTCCATTGAAAAAGACTGTGGACATCAAAAGCATCTGGAAGTTGCTAGAGGGCGCTGCAAAAAGTGGGACCTCTTTGCGACAAGCCCTCATTCTCAAGAACCAGGACGAACGCAGCGACCTGCATGGTTCCTTGGTGATTTGATATGGAGTAGAATGTTGTTTTGTTAACCAGTTGTTTAAGATTAGTGAATTCTTTGTCACACATTCATTTGATGCCACGTACCCGCGCCACAGTCGAACTAAATTCGACTACCGCTCTTGCCATGGCCGACCCGACGTTCGGCTCTTGCGCCAAGCTGTTGGCCAAGTCCAGCAGAAGGTAATGTCGGGGGCAGAAGTATCCGCTGCGAACTCTGGGATGGCACCACGACGACCACGACGTCCTGCTTCTTTGCGAGCAGAGGGCGACATAAGCATAGCGCGGGCAAATGCTTGCAGCTGCTAGTGGTCGTTGAGAGCCTTCGCCTGATATCCCCATGGCAGAGCGGGGTGACCCCATATCTCGGCCGAATGGGGGTGGCCTAAGTCTCCGGTCTGCATGACTGTCAGAGCACGTTCGTCTTTGCAAAGACGCCGGGGAGGCCATTACAGAAAGGGATGCTTAAGTCAGGTTGTGCATTTAATATTTATGAAAGGCAGAGTGCCAGTAAAACTTCTAAGGGTTCAGGGTTTAGTGGTTTGCTGCGCTTGCTGTTGATCAGAAAATCCTTGTCGATTCGCTTGCCGGCATGTGGAGGCATGTGTGTGGCCGCTACCCAGGACTCGCTGTGTCTCGCACAGGGCTCTGAGGGAAGAACGTAGTGCAGGGCAACTTATAGTCGCACACCATTAGCCGGGGTCACTTCCCTGAGGGTTCGCTAGTGCAGGGCAGCTTGTAGTTCACACCGTTAGCCGGGTGTGGCGGGCCGCTGTTTGGGATTTTCGGGCTCTTGAGGCCAACGGGGATCTGCTGACCAGATCCCTATGACAGCAGGACACATGGGCTAACGTGCCTGCTGGGAGCCCCCCATTTATGTCTCTGCACGCTCTGGCTAGCCAGTAGTCAGTGCGAGATGATGGGGTCATCTGCTGCTGCAGACATGGCACTCGACATTGCATTGTCCATGGCACTCTGTCTTACCCAGGAAAGTGTAACACCTTAACCTCAAGAGTGTTCGAATTAACAACATAATTGTGAACCAGCGCATGCAGCAGTTGACACACTTGTGAGTCGATTGATCCATCACAACACAAGGATGAGACAGACATGATGCAATCACTCGTTGAAATTCACATGTGGCATAGTTGTTGCAGACCATGACTTCATGCTCAAGCAATCAAATACAGCACTGCCAGACCCTCACTCGATTCTCGTTTTTCTGGTACCGCACACAGCAGTCCATCCATATCACTCGACGATTGCGAGACCACCGAGGTGGCAGCCACTTGTCAGGCAGATTCTGCACTGGCACTCTGCCTTCTATGCAGTCTTTGCTGGTGAGCTAAAATAATCAGTCTTCCATCTGACAAACAGCATTAGTGGAAGAAGCCTCAGAGTCGGACTCCTCACCTTCCTCCATCACATCTGAGGGGGCTCCATCATCCGCTGAGCCGCGCTGACTCCAGCCCGGGTCTTCTTCTGAGATGTGCCCATAATCAATACCCAAACGACCCCGCCCTCCGTTCTATAAACTAGTGTTGTGCATGCTAGCGGTATAGCCGGAGGCTTTAAAGAGAGCATACGAAGCGAAGACGAAGCTTTTACCGGAATGCCGAAAGAGTCCCACAGCTCTGAGACTAGGTTCAAACACAAAGGACGGTTGCTGGGTGGACAAATGCCCCCCCATGCAACTGAACAACGGCATAACGCTTCTGATACCGCACATGTGCAGCAAACAAATTACAGCAAGAACGAACGCCATTCGTGGTGCATGTATGCCGTGAGGGCAAACGCGGGGTTTAGAGACAGATTTGCAGAGCGCGGTCTATGCCCGTCGATATTCAAACGCACTTAAGATTAATGATGCCCAAAGAAAAAACACTGGTGATGGCATGACCGTCAGGAAACGGTGACAAGCAGTAGCCGAAATATCTCCCATCCGCGTAAAGCACAGATAGTGATATAACAAAGCCCAGGACAACAGCAGAAACGCCGACTTGCGGAGGGAGATGGCGTGCACATTCGGGTGAAACCTACAGCCTGCCCCGGAGGCTCTGCGGATTTCTTATTTCGAGGTCTTGTTTTTTTCTTTATGGCCAGTGCCTGTGAGACGTGGTGAAACGCCCAAAGTTGGAACAACGCTTCAAACACTGTATTACAGTAAATATGACGACTTTTGGGCGGGAGGGTGAGGAAAACAAAAGTGACATCATGCTAGCATGCACAACTATGAGCCAAAATGTTGCACGAAAACATAGTTTATAAAACATACGTGAAACAAGTACACGATACGTTCTATAAACTAGTGTTGTGCATGCTAGCGGTATAGCCGGAGGCTTTAAAGAGAGCATACGAAGCGAAGACGAAGCTTTTACCGGAATGCCGAAAGAGTCCCACAGCTCTGAGACTAGGTTCAAACACAAAGGACGGTTGCTGGGTGGACAAATGCCCCCCAAATAAAACTACCCAGCAACCCCGCACACACAGAACCCCAAACCTACGTGGGGTTGCTCGGCATTCCGGATTCCCGCACTGCCCAGCAAAGTGAAGCCCCTTCGGGGCAGATGTGAGGCGTCGGCCTCGGGAGCCACAGAGATTTCAGCGGCAGCCGAAGCCTGTCATTGGCAACACAATCGGAAGGAACATCATACTCGTCAGGACGAGAAAGTGCATCAGCTTTCACGTTGCGCTCCCCCGCTGTGTGACTCACATCCGGAACTGCCCTATGCATAGCAGCCAACAGTGCAATGCGCTCGAGAAAATAACACAATGGCTTGGCGGTGGTCAACGCTGAATTTATACCAGCTTCTGCTCCTGTGTTGTCAGACTGTGTGTGGAGCCTGATGGTGACCCGGGAACTCGGAAGCAACTCCGATGCTGCGACAATCAACCCTGACTGTGCCAAGGTTTCATAACACGCAATATCGAGCTGCATGTCAGATTGGACTGGGATCCCAAGCTGCCTGAACTCCTCATAACTGTATTGCTCACGAAACCACCTTTGACCTAACTGCGGGTGGTAAACATAACCACCGATACATGCCTGCTGACCTTGGGCGCTGGCGTCTGCGCGAGCTTCAATGAGTGGAACAGATGCAGGACGCATGCTGACGAAGGGTGACATGTGGAGCAACCAGTGCTCAAAGACATCCAAAATGCGCACGGATTCTGCACTCAGCTTGCGCTTGCTACTAAGCTGGCTTGACACGCGCATCCAAACACGCCTGTCTGTAATGCGAACTCTTTTGAACTCTTTGGGTCGTCACTGGTCAGGCTGAGTCAGCCTCGTGTGCCGAGGCCTCCTTGGGCCCGAAGAGTGGTACTAAGTCGCAGTTTGTACAAGCCGTGAGAGAACAGCTACCTCAAGACATGTCGGCATGAACATGAGACTGAACAAAAAGTCATGCCAACATCACTCTAGCTAGGTTTGTTGAGCTAGAGAATGTTTCAAAGAGTTCGTGAACTACGTAGTCGGAAGCAACAGCAGACTGCCAGTGCCACTACAGAAGGAGCGAGACTACAAGCAGGCTCAAGCACTCAAACTGTACACAGTGTTTCAGAGGAGCTCGTGGTGGCACTCAGTTCACCTCGCCAGCGGCTCTGTAATGCGAACTCTTTTGAACTCTTTGGGTCGTCACTGGTCAGGCTGAGTCAGCCTCGTGTGCCGAGGCCTCCTTGGGCCCGAAGAGTGGTACTAAGTCGCAGTTTGTACAAGCCGTGAGAGAACAGCTACCTCAAGACATGTCGGCATGAACATGAGACTGAACAAAAAGTCATGCCAACATCACTCTAGCTAGGTTTGTTGAGCTAGAGAATGTTTCAAAGAGTTCGTGAACTACGTAGTCGGAAGCAACAGCAGACTGCCAGTGCCACTACAGAAGGAGCGAGACTACAAGCAGGCTCAAGCACTCAAACTGTACACAGTGTTTCAGAGGAGCTCGTGGTGGCACTCAGTTCACCTCGCCAGCGGCCGCCGCTCCAGCAGCCACCGAGTCAGCAGCCACTGCGCCAGCAGCCACCGCGCCCGAAGAAGCGGCCCCAGCAGCCGCCGCCCCATCAGCAGCTGCGTCGTCGTCATCGTGTTGCCCATTTTGGGGTCTTGCAAGGCGTCGTTGCTCACACCACTGGCTGTAAGCTTGGCCAACGAGTGCTGAGAGGTGGATCGCCTGGGTACTCCAAGCAATGGCTTCGCGTCGTCGTCTATGCCAAGTGGCACGGGCAGAGTTGAGATGCCGTTGATGCATCACTGCACGCGCAGCGGCATCGGCTTTGTCATTGAGCAGTCTGCACAAGTCAACTGGCAAGGGAAAGTCTGGCGTCCAAGTGGCTTGACGTCCATGTGCGGGCATCCATCGCAGATTCAATTTTAAACCGCATCTGGTGGAAGTTTCAAGATGTGTGGCGATTTGTTGCACGAGCAGCTGAAGGGTCGCACACGACCGCGACTTAAGTGCAGCAAGCGCGGCTTGACAGTCCACCAAGACGTACACTTCGCCTCGTGCCCCAGCCAAGGCAGCTACAACGCACGTCTGGGCTAACTCACGGAGGGCCAGAAGCTCGGCACGGTAACTGGACTGGTCTTCGTCGTCGTCGCCAAAAGCAAAAGTCGAGAAACGACCAGCCTGGTGAAGAACGATTGCAGAGCCAGCCACGTCTTCAAGGTGCGAGCCGTCGGTGGCGATGCATGGTTGAGCCTTCTGGTCTGCCGCCAGAAGATTGCGAATAGCATCGGCAAGCTGTGCATGCTGCAAGGGCACTGGCTTAGGCGCAGCAGGGAAAGTCTCAAGCGGAGGGGCAAAGAGCCTTTCAGAGGCGCGATCAGACGGAGGAACGACCGGGTTGGTCTCGCGCAATGTGCTTAGGCCCGGGCAGCACCACGTGAGGTGCGCTCTCGACGGTTCAAGCTTATCGCACATGCACACTTTATCTGCATCAGTTGGTGTTGGGCGGTGGGACCCGCAGTGCGTGTGCCAAAAACTGGCTCCAGCTGCAACTGCGGCACGTTTTTGCGCAAGATTTTCGGGATTAAGAAAAATTTTTCTATGCGCGGCAAAACAAAACCAGGCCTGTCTAGGGGGCTTAGGGAGACTAAAACCCGAAGCGGCATTAGGGTCAACCCTGTGGTGCGAAGCTTTAATGCGACCGGCATTGTGCACGCCCTGTCGCACGTATTCTTCCTCCAGCCACTGGCGCAGGACCTTCAAGGAAGAGAATCCAAAGCGAAAAACTCGACGGCACCCGTTGCTATCGGTTTTGGCAAGGCCCTCGCCATGAGGAAGGATGGTCCACTTGTGTTTTCGGACCGCCTCAGCCGCCACCGGAAACAGATCCGACCACGGATCGACGGCCTCCCGGAGTGGCACATCATCAAGCCAAGAAGGTCGCTGTGCAACGAAGGACTGGACACGACGAAGGGCTGTGTAATCTTGCATGAAAAAGGGGTCTGTGTTCCATCCCATCATGCAGTGCTGCAAGAAGTACGGCACCTCGGGAGTGAAGCTTCTGCGAAATGCAGCAAGGACTTGCTTCGGTCTCTGTTGCAAGTTGTCGTTTAACTTGTTTAACTTCGGCGGCGACAAAGCATCCGGCTTCCGGCCCCCCAAAAAACCTGGAATAGAGGTAAACTGAAAGCGCCGTGCGTGTGAGGGAGGAGTGTACGGGGGAAAAGCCGAAGCTGCACGCGACAGCGGACACCCCGCGGGAACTTACCCGGGAGCCTCCACGGGAACGTCCACGGGAACGTCCACGGGAACCGCCGCGGGAAGGGCCGCGGGAAGGAAAATTCCAGTGTACAATTTAGACAGGTAGTGTACAATTTAGACAGGTAGAGAGCAACCTACCGGAGATCAATCACTTTCCCCAGTCACACACTCAGTCGTCCAGTCTTGAGCCAATGCCGAATCCAGTCTTGAGCCAATGCCATTCGGCATTGTTGCGTTCATTCAGTCTTGAGCCAATGCCATTCGGCATTGTTGCATTGTCAAGATCAAGGGACTGTGTTAAATCAGCATCGTATCATATGTATCATATAAAGGGCGTATCATATGTGTCATAGAAAACAAGGGGATTCAGAAGGTTCGGAGGTATTCCCGGTGGTGCATATAAAAACCAGGTATTCCAGGGTTCGGAAACCCCCGGTATTCCAGAACCCGGAACCGGAACCTGCCCCTGAGCCGCGTCCCGCAGCCAGGAAACAAGACTTTGCCGGAAAGTCTTATTCGTAAAAAACGACAGTATTTAAACCCGAGTAAGGTAAAAGACGAGTAAAATGAACATCTGTGAGTCATCTGTGAGTGCCGAGTGTAATTAAAAAAAAGTGTATCGGGCATGCCGAGTCCAAAATAGAGTATTCTCCGTCCGAGCAAAATTAAAGTATTCGTAAATGCTGGTAAACAACCGAGCAAAATAGAATAGTTGCACTACTACGACTACGACTACGACTACGACTACGACTACTACTACTACTACTACTACTACTACTACTACTACTACTACTACTACTACTACTACTACTACTACTACTACTACTACTACTACTACTACTACTACTACTACTACTACTACTACTACTACGACTACTACTACTACTACTACTACTACTACTACTACTACTACTACTACTACTACTACTACTACTACTACTACTACTACTACTACTACTACTACTACTACTACTGACTAGGACGACGACGACGAGACCTGCTACTACTTCTGCGATTACTACGAGGACTAGGACTACTATACTACCACTATACTACCACGAGCACGAGTACTACTCTAAATGCTCCGAGTAACATAAAGTATTCGTAAATGCTGGAAAAACGAATATCTGTGAATGTCGAGTAAAATAAATTTGACGAATGTCCTGTGCATGCCGAGTCAAATGAACGACTTTTACTTACGACTACTGACTACTGGCGACGACTACGACTGCTACTACTACTACTACTACTGCTGCTGCTGCTACTACTACAACATCTGCTACTGGTGCTTGCGCCTTAGTCGGCCAGAGGGTTGCGCCTTAGTGGGCGATAGTAGGGGTGCGCCTTAGTCGGCGATATGGTTGCGCCTTAGTGGGCGATAGGGTTGCGCCTTAGTCGGCGATGGGGTTGCGCCTTATAGTGGGCGATAGGGTTGCGCCTTAGCCGGCGATGGGGTTGCGCCTTAGTGCGCGAACTACAACTAATTAAGGGGTCGACTGCTATTGCTGCCGCTGCCCTCCTGCAACTCCTACTAACTACGAATCCCACTCCTACTCCTACTGCTTGTCCTTCTTCTTCTTCTTCTACTTCTACTCGTTTTGATGGATTGCTGCTACGAAAGCTACTCCTGTTCCTGCAACAGCCAGAACCACCATACTCGTAGCAGCTCGCAAAAAAAGGGTGCCACAGAAACCAGAAGCTAAGAAAAGTCAAATCCGAGGCTGAATGGAGGCATCGCTTCATGCTTGAAATGGTAGCCGCGGAAACATGTCGTCCACCAGTTATTGCTGAACCGTTTTCCGGGGATGAGGTTTAGGCCAGGAGCTGTGGCAAGGGTTGTTGGTTTTATGTGTTGGCTTTAGACTTTGGCGAATGCCCCCTACTTTCTTCACGATGTAGCCAGACAACTCGGGAAATGAGTCCTCCTGCACGAACCTGGGCAATGCGTCTGAGGGCATAAGCTGTGTACCCGAATGCCGAAGACGGCATACGTGATGCGATACCTGACAGTACCGAAGCCCAAAAGAAGAAAGCTTCGGAAGGTGTTCTTGTTATTCAACGTTGGCTTTCTGCGTGTTCGATCACAGAAGTGGGGAACGTATCTTCATGATCTTTCGTGTCGGCCTGTGACCTGCAAGAGATATGCCCTAAAATTAACCAGCACAGTCGCAACATCTCAAGATGAACAAGTGCCGACCAATGGCTCCGGCTTAGGGTTTGGGGCTTGGGGGCTTAGGGTGTAGAGCTTGCCTTTCCGGTGGAAACGCTTCAACACGAAGCCACCAAAACGCAGTCTCCAAGGCACCAGGCCCCTAGACCCCTAGACCCCTAGACCCTAAACCCCTAAACCCTGAACCCTAAACCCTAAAGCCTTGTTCGGACCTAGCTCGACTCTGCTCGCAGCTTCTGCCGCTACATCGATTTGACTAGCAATGATACGGCTGATGGTCAAAATCCTGCATCACTAATAATAAGCAATATGCCATAGTTCCCATAGTTTAGGGTCCCGAAGGTAAGGCAGGATTTTCACCATCAACAGTAAGAGTACGAATTGTGCTAATTCTGGTAACTAGCTATCGTACTAGCAATCATAGACAGATTTTGTATTGATACCCGTACCTAGTGATACTAGTAATGATAGCAGAATGGACCATGGTAGACCATGCTCCTGCGTTCTTGGCCCTAGACCCTAAATCCCTAAAGGTGGACTGCCTGAGGTGAGGCCAGGACCACTCGGCTATCGAGATGGCAGCATGCTTGGTCACACTGTAGGGCAGAGACCCCACCTCTGGGACTGCCAGGCAGGATTAGGGGTCAGGATTTGGGATTAGGGTTTAGGGCTAAGGATTTAGGTGTAGGGTTTAGGATTTAGGATTAGGGTTTAGGCTTTAAGATCAACGCTTAGGGATTAGGATCCCTTGTCGATTGCAGACTGCTCTCGGTGCGTCAGAACGGTGAAGGTCTGAAATAGAAGAGAAGAAACCAGACAAATCCTTCAGGTTCACTACATTGTAGTCTACTCCGAAAGCTTCCAGACCCGACTTCTTTCCTACTAAACTCAAAACCCATAGACGTGCAGCACGTAAAAGTATGTTCTGGCAGGTTTGCAGGGTTTAGTGGCTGGCGCCTGCGACGATACTCCAAGCTAGACAGTCTCTCCTCTCCTTGCTCATGGGCTTCGGCCGTGTGTTCGACATTGACAGAACCTAGGCCGCAAACCAGAAAACAAACCCAAAGCCCTAAACAACAATCCCTGGAAACCCAACCAGTGACTAGGACTCCAAGGCCATGTGCCGAGAGCCGTTGAAGCGACAACACGGGGGCCTCGATAATCAGAGTAGGGTCCGGAGTACTCCACAGGTTAGGTGTACATACATACATATATATATATATATCTACAGAAATATTGTATATATTTCTGTAGACACTGCGTTATTGGACTGGAACGGAATACAGCTAGTAGTTCTGCCGACCTCTGTACATAGTTTGCGACACATTCCCAGCCCTGGCCTTAAGGAATGATGGACCTTAAGAAATTTGAGATCCCAACATGCACCTGCGTCAGGAGACCCGCTGCAGAAGCGGTGATGACAAAGTACTTGCGATTCCCTTCGGACCGGCTGCAGACTTTGGAGTTGTCGAGTTTATGAGGACCGGCTGCAAACTTTGGAGTTGTAGAGTTTATGAGGGTTTATACGGGACTGGGGAGTTGGTAATTTGTAGGGCCTTTATCGCTGGTAGCTTGACGGAAAGTTATAAGGTCAACGTTTTCTAGGGCTGAAGGCCTTGTAGGGCTTATGGGTCTGTGATCATGATTAGTATCATTAGTGTTCCGGTCCTGTTTGTTCATAGGTTTTGCTGACGATATCCTGGTGCTAACCAACATAACATCATAGGACACCTACACGACCCCACAGTCTTCCATGCACTTCAGACCTTTTGGTTTCGAAAAATGATGCGATCTGCTAGGGAGACCCCAACACAAGCCCAAATCCCATGTCGATGCCAGAACAACTGTTGAGCTGGTAGCTTGACATACCAAAGACACCTTACACCCACCTTCAGGTTCTTCTGCGCGCGGTGGGCCTCACCGGAGGACAGTCGAGCTCTGTCAGGATGTAGGGCTAGAGTTTGTGATTCTTCCCCTATCATATCCCTGGTTACTACACTGTCAAGGCCAAACCTTCGACCCCTGCATATGAACTTGGCCATACCCAAAGTATTCCAGCCTTCGGAGACTTCGTCACAGCCCCCCAGCGGTTTGACCTCGTCGGTACAAGCAAGAATCGCTTGTGGGTCTACGGGTTTCTGGACCAATCGGGATCCTCTTGATTTGCCTGCACCGTGTCTTCTTTTCGCAGTCAGCTACAGTCAGCCATGGTTTCGGGCAGCACCATGGTTCTAGGGAGCATTCAACAGATCTCGGCTAAGGCTGCTAAGGATGGTATTAATAATCAGCGAGTATCATCACCAGTGCTCCCGAGAACGTGCTACAGTCAGCCATGGTTTCGGGCAGCACCATTGTTCTGGGGAGCATTCAACAGATCTTGCACGAGAATGTGCTGCTAAGGATGGTATAATAATCAGCGCATATCATCACCAGTACTCCCGAGAACGTGCGAGGGTGCGAGGTGTCGGGAGTGTCAGCGTGCAGCTGCCACAGACGATGTGGCTTGCCACTGTCAGAGTGCATACTTCCAAACTGATATGTGGTCGGGGACTGGAGTAGCTTTAAGGTTCATGCCAGCCCAAGAAAAGAGGCCTCCGACAAGGGACCTCAGCGTGGGCGGCACAACATCGGGCTGCTGCTTGCGCACTCGAAAATAATGGATCTTTGTACAGCCTAGCCTAGCCGCTGGCTTCCTTGTTCTTCGCCTTGTCTAGCATTGCTTGCAACGCAGCGCTAAGTCCACTCGTGCTCCCGCCGCCGCTCTCGCCTGCCCCACTGCCACTGGAGCCCTCGTCCTTCTTGGGCTTCTTGGTCTCCGTCTGAGTCTGTCCGCTCTGATTCTCATTCTCCTTGCGCTTCTTGACTGCAGCGGTCTCCGCCTTCTTCTTCTTCTCTTCCTCCTGTTTGCGCTTGGCCTCCTCCTTGGCCTTCTGCTCGATGTTTTTGTCAGCCAGCGCAGGTGCATAGAGACCGGAGCCCGGGTTGGACAAGGCGGCAAGCACCTCCTTCATGACAGTCTTCTCGATGTACTCCATGTGGTGCTGTGTGCATGCTATGCCCACATAGCCAAGACGGTTGCACACTGCCCAAGCAGCCAGCCGTCCTGACTGGGGTGTCACGTCGATGATGTGGGCGGCGCTGGTGGCCTGCAGCGCGGACTCCCAAAGCGTCACGGGCATTTCATGATACACAACTGGCTGTTGGACTGTGGGAGCCAGTGTCTTGCTGCTGCCCCGGCCACTTCCGACGTCTGGGAGTTCAATCTCCTCTTCATCCACCGCACCGGTCTCTTCGGCAATTTCGTCTCTGTCAACGGCTGCGCCTTCGTCGTCCGTTTCGCCTGTGGCGGTTTTGCCGCCTACCGCAGCTCGTCTCTTCCCCCACAGGAGCTTCTTCTCCCCGTACGGAATCGATGGAAGGCTCTTCCAACTCTCGAGGCTGAACGGACCCATGAGGTCGAAGGCATTGGTTCCTAGTTTACTATGCAGGGCATCCAAATTGAAAGCTACCAGGGCCTCGCCGATGGGGTTTAATTCAAAGTTAGGGTGTGCAGTGTACAGCCTAGCCTTGGCAGTGCTTGTAGGACTTCACCGGGATATCCGTGGCCGCATCGAACCACCAAAACATCTTCTGCGAGCACTTCAGGGACGCCAAAGCTTTCCTCGAGGTGCGAACCCGCCGGCTCTGCACGGACTCCGGGGTAAAGGTAGTTGTGATCTCGCGCCACATGATGTTGCTTCCCCGGGACTTCGAACGACCCACGCCCGGGCCAACACCGAACAGCTTGGACATGAAGCTGTTGTTCGAGCGCCCACCGTTGAGGCAAACCACAATCTCCCCAGGGGCCATCGTCTTCCAGTCCGAAGCTCCGCGACGTGCAAGCCCAATAGCCTCGAAGATCTTGTTCAGGATGCTTTGCTGAATCGGGGGTCGGCGAATGTGCGGGGCGGTGATTGCCTCACCCCACCCATTCACATCCATGACAATGATCAGATTCCCACTCATGCTCGCGGTGTCCACTTGCACCAGCTTGTGCTTCTTCAGGGCGGCAGCCAGGGCTCCAGACGTTTTCTTGTCGTCCTCGGACTCGAGCACGAGGTAGGAGGACATGATCCGCTTGGCGTGAGCCAGACGCTTGCTCTCCGGATCCGTGCCTTCCGCCATGGCCTCGTCCGTGTCTGAAGTTCTGGACGGGGCTGCTCCGGACGGGTTCGGAATCTTCTGTGCCTGGTCCGGCTCGGGATCGGGGTCCTGCGACTTCCCTGCATCGTTGATGGCCTTGAGCTCCTCCTTCAGGCAAGTGTCGATCTCAAGAATCGCGTCCTTAAACGGAGAATACTCTTCAAGCAACTCCTGCCCGCTTTTGGCATTTTAATGCCCAGGCGGATGGTGCTCTCATCCGTTGCGTCTACGCTGAAACAGGCTGTCTCCACAAGTTCCAGTACCAGCAGCCCGGATTTGGGCCAAGTTGCTTGCCAGGACACGTCAATGTTCTCTGCCTCCTCCGGCACCAGCGGCCGCAACAGCTTCATGTAGGAATCTCTGGAGGCGAAGACCTCCCTCAGCTTGGACTTGCAGTCGGCCACAATGTTCCTGCTATCCAGGAAAGGGCCCAGTAGCCAAAGCTTCATCTCACGCTGCTTCAGGAACACCAGGCCATACTGCTTCGTGCCTGCCGTCGCAAGATTTCGCATGCTGAAATCGTGCAACGTCCCAGCCGTGAAGCGGGCGGAGATCGTGCCCAGCAACCACTCCAACTTGAGCACGTGGTCCTTGCACAACTTGCACATCTCCTGCAGCTTGTAGACGCCCGCAAAACGAGAGTCGTCCAGGAACTCCTGTTCGGAGGCCAAAACGATCTGGCGCAAGGGCTCGTGTGCAAGCATGCGCTCATACACCTGGAGGCAAGCCTTGATCGTTCCAGGCTTGCTGCGGTCCTTGTCATCATGATTAGCTCCACCACCGCTGGAGCGACGACTAACTTGAATCAAGTTCCTGCCATACAACGTGGCGACGTCGTCGGCAGTGAGCGGGCCTGTGAAGACCTCCTTCCTGACCTGCGCACGAGCTTCGTGCAGGGAGGGCCTTGTACTACAAATAAGATGAGGTGGGTTCAGGGTTTTGGGTTTCGCGTGTTCAGGTTCAGAGTTCTGGGAGCTTACCCGGACGTTAGAGTTAGGCTGTATCCATTCAGCAAGACGTTGCCGTGTAAGCAATGTTTCTTAGCGGTTACAAGTGCTGGCCTTGAAATTCCACACATCGAAGATCATTTGGGTCGTCTTGTGGGTGATGGCCTTCTGATCGGCCTCGGCTTTGAAGCGCTTGTTGATCGTGTAGAAGTAGACATCCTGCTCCGTGGCGAGGTGCACAAAGTTGGCGGGGCAGGATAGCATCACCCGCTTCCATTCCAACAGCTCGGAGTCCGGTGCACCCATGAGGATTTTCTCGTGGACGGCCATGATGACGGCATGCTGCTGCCTCAGCGTGGTCGGCTTGGGAGGGCTTCCGCTTTTCTGCAAGGGGAGATTGTGTGAAGTTGTTCTTTTCACGTTCTGGGCTGAATGCATTCGGGGCACTCTTCCGGAGAGCATCTGCGCCATCTTCTGTCTGTAGGGCCAGGAAACACAAATTCCAGACGATCCTCCAGAATCTTGGGCCCCCTGGCCAACAGACGCTTGACGAGGTCTGCAACAGCTTTAGTCATGATAGGAACGCCCGGCGTGATGGATTCTAGAGGACTGCCCCATAGAATGTTCACGCCACAGAAGTATTCCGAACCGCTGTCGCGCGACAGCTCCAACTGCCGGCGATCCAGCGGCGCCAGGAACCCTGCTAGATCATTCTGATCGGCAGGAACCAGGGGCAAGGGGTCCACGTAGTCGATGTTCGGACCGAACACGGGATGGGCCTTGATCTCCGAGATAGAGGCTTCGATCATCTTGAAGTGTTCGATGTTGGGGTCGTACGACGACGGCGGAAGATCGCCGAGGCCTGGGGCATCAAGGTCCTTCTTCCCGGCCATCGCCTTCGCCTTCTTTGCTGGAGGCATGCTCGGAGACAGCGGTCTTCTCGAGAGTCTTCCCACTTGAGCTCTGCTAGGGCTGCGTGCATGACATGAGTTCCCTGTTATTCTCCGTGCACCTCGCAGCTCTAGTCTAGATCTGCACGTGTCTGCAATGGCCGTGGATACCGGCTTGTCCAGACGCAATGACTGTCAGGTCTCCTCAATATCAAGGGCCCGGCGCGCGACTGAGCATGCAGCGAGTCCTGTAGATTTTTGGCTACTCGTCCCGGAGGATAAGGACTTCCACGACTTGTAGTGTAGTGATCTACCGTATTGATTACACCCTGGAACATTCTACGCTAGGAAGGGCACGTTTCGTTTGGAAACTTTGATGATGATGATGATGATGAGCATGAGGATGATGATGAGGATGATGAGGAGGATGAGGATGATGATGATGGTGATGAAGATGATGCTGATGATGAGGAGGAGGAGGATGATGATGATGAGGATGATGATGAGCATGATGATGCTGAGGTTGAGGATGATGAGGATGATGATCATGATGTTGTCGATGATGATGATGATGATGATGATGATGAGGAGGAGGAGGAGGATGATAAGGTTGAGGATGATGAGGATGAGGATGATGATGATGATGTTGTTGTTGATGATGATGATGATGACGATGATGATGATGAATATTATGATGATGATGAAGAAGATGAGGATGATGACGAGGATGCTGATGATGAGGTTGAGGGTGATGAGGATGATGATGATGAGGATGATGATGATGATGATGAGGATGAGGATCATTTTGATGATGAGGATGAGGAGGAGGAGGAGGAGGATGAGGATGAGGATGAGGATGAGGATGAGGATGAGGACGAGGATGAGGATGAGGACGAGGATGAGGATGAGGACGAGGATGAGGCTGAGGACGAGGATGAGGATGAGGACGAGGATGAGGATGATGATGAGGATGAGGATGATGATGCCCCAGGATACCCTCAGCTCTGCACATCGGGAATTCCAATTGCCACCCCACGTTTAACCTCAAGCCAAAGCTGGTTCGATGCTGTAGTCGGATACGTGATGATATAACACTAGAACTGTACCCTAACCCCTGGTAAAGCTCCGCAAGATGCCCAAAGCCACCCGTGGAATCTTTAGCCCGCAACCAGGGAACGCAAACCCGCAACCTAAGCCTGCAACTTCAAGGCCAAAGCCCTTCACAAACCCCGGTATCGAAACCCATCGCCCTAACCCTAGGGGGGAAGTGATCCAGGCCGTGAGCCGAGCATTGCCCGTAGGGGCAAAAACCCCACAGTATTTAGAATTCCTTTTATAAGGGTTAGACTTTTGCAGCGATCTATAAGGGTCGAGAACGCAATCCAGGCCGTGAGCCGAGCCTCCAAGTCTGGCCCTACCCCGACCCCCCCGGGACGCAGCGTCCTGCCCCCTTTGGCTTGGCCAGGAGCCTCCGAGAGCAGGCGTTGTGGGCTTCGGGTTGAAGGGCTCAGGCTTTAAGGGTTTCGTGCTTAGGGCTTCGGGTCGCTTTCAGGGTTTCGTGCTTAGGGCTTCGGGTTGAAGGGCTCAGGCTTTAAGGGTTTCGTGTCTAGGGCTTCGGGTGGCTTTAAGGGTTTCGTGCTTAGGGCTTCGGGTTGAAGGGCTCAGGCTTTAAGGGTTTCGTGTCTAGGGCTTCGGGTGGCTTTAAGGGTTTCGTGCTTAGGGCTTCGGGTGGCTTTAAGGGTTTCGTGTTTAGGGCTTCGGGTGGCTTTAAGGGTTTCGTGTTTAGGGCTTCGGGTGGCTTTAAGGGTTTCGTGCTTAGGGCTTCGGGTTGAAGGGCTCAGGCTTTAAGGGTTTCGTGTTTTGTGTGAAGCGCTTCGGGTTTAGAGTCTTGGGTCGAGGGTACTCTTTTATGACTTCAGGACTCTAGCTGGCTCCAGCAGGGGCTTCTATATCATCCGACTGAGTCTTGATATGGCATCATCATGTATCGTATCACATCATGTCACATGACATCATTATATTACATCTCCATTCCACATCATAGCATATCATCTCATATCACCTCTTACCTTGTCGCATCATATCTTTTCATGTCACATCATATGATATCATATCATATCATATATTATCATGTCATACCGTAACATATCATCTCATGTCATATACTACCTTATCACATCATATCATTTCATGTCACATCATAGCATATCATATAATATCATGTCATACCATATCATATCATGTAATATCATATCTTATGATATCGTACCCTAAAAGATGCTATTATGTCATATCATGTCAGACGGTATCATATCATACCATATGTTAGTCTATCAGACTGAACCACACCCAACTGCATACTACGCAAGACTGCACTATACTATGCCACACTACAATGCACCCTGTCATACTTTGATATACTGTAGTGTACTCGATTATAATCACCTCACCTGACATCCCGTCGAGATCATATCTTCATCCTGACCATCCTCCACATCATGGCATGCAAAGCCCACATCTTTCGCTGCCGACTTGGCACGATCAGACCGAGCCCTCCGAGCCTTCCGACTCAGAATCGGGAAGCTGCACAAACACATTGCGTGATGTTAAAATGTCCCATATGGGCTTCATCTCCTCTAGAACCTCGGCCTTCAGAGCCTCTAACTCGCACAAGCGTTGGTAGAGTTTGTCGCTGCCAATGTCCGCCAGGTGGACCCCCGGCTTAATGCTGCGTACTTCAACCACACAGCTGTCAGGCGTCTCACCCTTGCCCAGAACCTTCACTGAGATTGCTGAGAGACCAGACTCTTCTTGTGCAGAGAGACGCTGAGAGAGAGACAGTGCTTCCTGAGCCGTGCTTGCTTGATCGATGACCCACCCATGGTGTCGCGGCAGCGTCCCCACACGACGCTGGAATCGGTCCCGTTTGGCCCGATGTTCTTTCTGGGAGGTCTTTCTAGGGCGCGCGGCAGGACGACGCATGATGCAAGTCTTGGCACGGACCATAGCTGCAAGTCTAGCGACGGCAAGTCTAGCCTGTCAAAGGTGGGAGTACTTATTGACATGGAAGTGGCGACAGCAGATAAATTCATGCATCTGAACATGCGAAGCGACGTGGGAATTTCCGAACACAGGGGACCCTGATATAATGTACTCTGCATAGTAGGATCCTTATGATTATAAGGACCGCCTCAACAAGATAAGTACGCCTAGTATTGGGACACCTTCACATGTCGACCTATCGCATTGGAGCCCTGACCTGGGTTGCCGCGGTGTGGTTTCTAGGCCTCGGGCCGGTTAAAACCCCTTACAACGGTCGGAGGCGCCTCTGACGTTCGGTTGCCGTCTAAGCAGCCCCTGCCTAGAAACCCTGGCCTCTGGGAGACGCTCCCCGAGCCAGCCCAGCCATTTCTAGCGTGAGGCGACATGTTCGAGTGCAGGGTGCCCGCTCCCCCTACCCATGCCATGCTCAGAGGCGCCTCCGGCTGTTGCTTACCCCACCCCCAATACCCCCACCAAGTCCAGAGACGGGTACGCCCGCAGAAGTGCACCTCGACCACGACCCGGAAAGCAATTGTCGCAGGCGCCTTGGCCAGCCGCAGCGGCGAGGGATTGGCACCTGCTCACTGCAACAGGCCGCCGAGTGCTAGAGACTAGCGTCGGGTGGCACCGCCCAAGGACGAGGATCATTCTACAATTAGAAGTGGAATCATATGCAAATTTACATTGCAGAGGTTTTTTTTGTCAATGCAGGTAGCCTAGGTCATTGTCGGGGAGTATCACTATTACGCAGGCCCTTGCAAGGTGTTCCAAAGCAGGCTTTCGGAGATCCTTTCTATTATAGTGTTCAGCCCTGAGGATGCAGACAGACTTCATTAAGCAGCAACAACTCCTGCCGATTCTATAGAACTGCCAGCGGCCTTGTGTCTATCCTGCCACAGATGCATCCAAAACTGTGCTAGAGCGACACAGACATGCCTTCTCAGCAGTCCGAAGCACAGCAGTCTAAGTCCAGCGTCGTTTGACCCTGGTTTTTGCAGTCTCGTACTCGCTCGAGCTTATCAATCCTGCAGAATGCAACAGTTCCGGCAGCACAAACTCCAGGATGTTGAGGGACATTGCGTTTCCTAGCATAGCCGCCCCCTGGGTGCGTTTGACTCCTGCACCGGCAAAATCGAGCATGTCCGGGTCGTAGCCTTGAAGTTTGCTGTAATCGTCTAGATCTAGATATCGGCCCTGGCTGGTAAGCCAATGGCCAAAGTCCTGGCACCGGGATTTGGTGAGGGTCATTGCATGCTCCACTGCGCTGCCAACCCACTTATCTGACGAACCGCAATCAATGCATAGACCTGTTTCAAAGGGATTCAAGCCCCTCTCGGCATGCTTCTCCATCTCCGACTGCACCCGCCGCGCGTGTGCCTGATGCTCCGGCAGGACAGCAACAGGCGGCGGGCTCGACTTCGTCAGGAAGGTGCTGAGAGGCGCAATGTCTTTCTGGCAGAGCGGAGGGGGGAATCTCAAGGGTTGCCGAAGCTCCGCAGACAGCACGGCTTGGAGGTAGATCCGTCTCCGGCTTTGTGGCACACCGTAGTCCATGGTGTTCAGAATCATCCACTTCCAGCTGTATCCTGCATCTGTCAGGATTCCGCAGATCACCTCGAGGCCCTCTTCCAACTGCAGTCTGTCTGTGTTTTCTAGGAGAACTGCCACGGGACGTCGGGACACTATGTAATCGATTGCATTCCATAGCAGCATGCCTCGGACGTCGGAGAATCCATCCCTCCCGCCAGCCGGACTAAAGGGCTGACAAGGGGGTCCTGCGACATAAAGCTTCACTGCGGGCGGAGCCTTGCCTTCGGTATCGTAGTCTCTGCACCGGACATCTCCTTCCAGCAGGCGTGGCTGGTGAGCATGCCTGATGAATTTCCGCGCTGCCTTGTCCGTCTCGGCGCTGAACACATGCTCAAACCGTACACCGAGCCGTTGCAGAGCGAAGCATACTCCGTCGAGCCCTGAGAAATCCGTTCCCAGAGTAACTGCCGTGGGTGCTGTGTCAGGATGCACGGCTGCTGCGGCAGACTGCGCCAGCTTGCGCTTCGGCATGGCTCGCCGCCGTCCCAGCCTCCGAGTGACTTCGAGAGACAAGCTGCGTGCAAGTGGCTCGTGGGCAATCCCACCAGACATGCCATGCTTCCTGCCGACATAGGTTGTTGCTTGAACTGAACTTGAAATCTCGATGTCTCCTCAACCTCTACTAAGCTAACCCTGACGTTCTAGGTGACCCCAGCGACGTAGCCCTGGCACATGCAGCACCTGTAACAAACATTTCGCTTAGGAGTGTGTTGCCCTATAATCCTGTAGATGAGCTGTTTGCCACATGATTTTGTATAGTATGGAACAAATGTTCCACTGTGGTGTTTAGGCTCAAGGGACGCACCCAAGACAGCCGTGCGCCCGAGGAAAAGTGAAGTGCGAATATCTGTGTGAAGTGAAAGGGTCCGGAACGTACCCGTAAAGCGTTTTATGGTAGCGGAGCTGAAGGCCAGGACCTTCGGCTGAAGAAGAGCCCAATACAAGGAGAAAAGAGCCTTGGGCCCCAGTGTCACGGAAAGTGAAAGAAAGGAAAGTTGAATGGCCACGCCAAGTCCAGCTGGAGACGCGGATTTGCCTGTGTCCCCTGGTCACGGTGGTCAAGGAGGAGATACACCAAGTGATACGCCAATGGCGATGCCTGCACCAGATGGAGTTGCAGGAGGATCCCTTCAGGCCCTGATAGGGAACCTGTCGGCAGCAGCGCAAGCTTTGGCAAGTGCTGCAGGTACAGGAAGTACCAGAAGTTACGACTCTGCAGCTAAGCTGGTGAAGAGTCCGGATGTGTTCGCTCCAAAGAATTTGGAGGAGGAAGTTTCACAGTGGCCAGATTGGAGTTTCAGTTTCAAAGTGTTTGTGGGATTCATTGATCCCACTTATGCAGAAGAGTTGAAGAAAGTGGAGCTGGCACCACCAAATCCAGCAGATTATACAGTTGGTGAAAGAGAGCGAAGTACAAAGCTGTATGCGATTTTGGCCTCGTATCTTAGGAACAGGCCATTGAAGTTATTGAAGTCAGAAGGAAGTCCAGATGGATATTCTGTCTGGAGGAGACTGTTTGAAGAGTTGGAGCCGTCAAGCCGAACAAGAGGGCTGGCAATGGCTCAAGCTCTAGTGAGCTTTCCCCAGATGACGAAGGGGACTTCTATCTTAGACTATCTGCTTACCTACGAAAAACTGGTGGCAGAATACGAAAAACTGTCCGAAGGAAAACCCTACGATGAGAATTTGAAAATCGGAACAGTACTCAAAGGTTTGCCAAATGAGTTGAGGAAGCATATCCTGATAGGATTGACCCCTACGACGAAGTACGCAGACATCAGGAAGAAGTTGCTTGAGTATGAAAGAAGTACCCAATCGTGGAATGCGGAGAACATTTTGCAGTCTTTCAACATGGAAAGCGCAACGAAGAGTACACCCTACAATGGACCACAACCAATGGATATTGATCGAGTGAAAGGAAAAGGAAAAGACAAAGGAAAAGGAAAAGGTCACGACAACAAAGGAAAAGGAGGAAAAGGGTACAACAACAAAGGAAAAGTAAAAGGAAAAGGATACGACAACAAAGGAAAAGGAAAAGGTGGTTATAGAAATGCACGAGCAGTGGACGCTGGTGGCTACGGGAAAGGAAAGTTCATAGGAGAGTGCCACATATGCGGAAAGACAGGACACAAAGCAGCTGATTGCTGGCAGAATCAAGGAAAAGGAAAAGGAGGTAAAGGCAAAGTGAGACAGGTAGAAGAGGAAGGAACCCATCAAGGAGATCACGAGAAGAGTTCCTCTAGCAATGCCCCTCCTACGAAGAATGAGACTGGTCAAGTGAGGCAGATCACAGCTGAAGCAGCGCGCCAAGCAAGAAGAGTAGAGATGACACAAGAGTGGAACGATGAGGATGAAGAGCTCAACTTTGTGAGATTGTGTCAAGAGTTTGAAGGTTTGGTTCAAGGAGAGCTGAGAAGAGTTGAGGAGTTTGATATCTCTTCGAGCGATGAAGTGGAAGAGATCGAGGAAGAACCGACTGATGGTTTGATGGAGTGGTACCAAGGATGGTGGTTCTTGGAAACAGAAGTTGAAAGAAGTGTGAGAATGGTTTCTGAAGGAGATGATGTGAGAAGAACAGCAAGAGAAGTGGATGCATGTGAGGTAGTGCTCGACAGTGGAGCTGACTGCCATGTGTTGCCTATGGATTGGGCAGAAGAAGTCGGAGAAACTTCGAACTTTGAGTATCATCTGAAAGATGCGCAAGGGAAAGTGATCCCAACGCTGCCTGTGAGGCAGAATGTGACGTTTGTTTTCACGAAGGAGTCTGGAAAGAAGTTGAAGATCACTGACAGTGCTGTTTGCGGCAATGTCACCCAACCTTTGTTTGCGGTAGGAAAGATGTGGAAGCTAGGTTGGGGTACGGTGAATGAAGATGGAAGATTGTGGTTGAAGAAAGGAAGTGTTCGGATACCGATATACTTCAAAAGGAATTCCTCAATGGCGAGGATGTGCATACGGAGACTTGAAGGAGAAGAGATGACAGTGCAGCCTGTGAGGCTGGAGCGAGAACTGAAGAATGAGTTGAAGAGCAAAGAAGATGAAGATGGTTGGTTTGTGCTAAATGACGGCACGCCTGCAAGGTTTGATTGGTTTATGGGGAAGACGTTTGACCCAACGGGTCAGTTCCCTAATAGACTCTATGAGGGAGCAGGAGATGAAGGCGATTATTTTCCTTATAGGACAACCTTGCTAGGAAAGATGAAAAGAAGTGGAGAAAGAGTATTGAATGAAGTGGATTGGAAGAGTATGGATTTCTTTGAGTGTACGGAGATCTGGAAGGATCGAGAAAGAGTGCAACTTGGGGCGAGTCCTCAAGCAAGGTTTGAGGTGATGGTCACCTTGTTGGAAAAAGGATTGAAGGAACCGAGCGACTATGGGTTGCTCACGAATTTGGAAGAGCTTGAAAGAGAACTGGCACAAGAAGGAGTGCCAATGGAGGTCACAGGAACCTCCTCAAGTTCAAAAGACAAAAGGGAAAGTGAGAAAGAGGAACCGAAGAGAGGAGTTCCAGTGATTGGTGAAGATGAGGAAGAAGTGATGGTGATTGGACCAATGAAGTTGACACGCCAGAGTGAGTTGAAGGAGATGAAAGCGGCGTGCAAGTATCTGCATATCTCGAAGAATGGATCGAAAGAGATTTTGTGGAAAAGATTGAAGAAAGAGGTTGCGCTGAGCAAAGTGAAAGCGCAAGCCCAAATCTCTGAGGATATCAGAAAGGAGTTTGAGAGAGAACCGATTCCAGAGGCTCTGCCTGCTTTGCCGAGCCCGGAAGAGATTGAAGCGCATGAGTTGACGCATTTGCCGAGAGCGCCCTGGTGTGAAGCATGCCAGGCAGCAAAGAGCAGAGAAGACAACTTTGAAGAGACGAAAGAGAAAGCGCAACGGCCCGTGTTTAGCTTGGACTTTATGTTCACAGGAACACAAGGAGATGAAAAGGAGAGAGATCCGCTTGCTATTCAGCTTGCGGGTGTTGACAACGACACGAAGTTCCTGATAGCTATTGCGGTGCCAACGAAAGGAGGAGATGCGGTGATAAACCACGCAGTGAGTGAAGTGGTAAGAGTGTTAGCCCTTTTGGGTTACGCTGAAGTGGTGATTAGAACGGACACCGAGCCAGTGATGATTGCCATCAGGAGAGGAGTTCAAGTGGCAAGAACAAGACAAGGTTTGAAGACGGAGTTGCAAGATGCCACGCCTGATGAGCATCAAGGGTTGCCTGTGGAAAGGTATATCCAAACTGTGAGGAACCTTGCAAAGACGTTGTTGGCGACGGTTGAGCAACGAAGTGGAACGGCCATCGGATCTGATGTCCCGCTTTATAGCTGGGCATACAGACACGCAGCATGGCTGCACAACAGGTTTCATGTTGGAAGAGATGGCAGAACTTCGTTTGAAGCGACAGTGGACCGAACGTACAAAGGGAAGTTGGCCCCGTTCGGGTCAGCAGTGTTTGGAAAAGCAGTGCCAAAGACCAAGGAGAAAGGAGAACCTTGGGAGAAAGGAGTCTTTCTTGGAAAGGACTACGCGAGCAATCTGAACTTGATTGGCACAGGTAGAGGAGTGATTAAAGCGAGGACAATGAGAAGATGTGCTGAGGCATATCAGCCGGAGCTTTTGCAACTTTCGGTTGGAGCTCCATGGGATCATCAGCTGAAGGCTTTGAGGTTTAAGAAGAAGAGAATTGTGCCTATTGATGATGGGCCAGGACTGCCAAGATTGGCGGTGGAAGCTGATAAAAGAGTGGAAGAAGAAAAGAGAAGCGAGCCTTCGCCGCCAAGCGACCGCCAAGGAAGCTCAAGTTCTTCTAGCAAGAGTTCGTCGTTATCTGGAGCAACGCCAGAAGCAATGGACGACGAGAGCGATGACGATGACGATGATCCAGGAGAGGTGAGAACAAAGAGAAAAGCGGAAGATGAATTGGTGCCCGATGAAATGACGTTAGAAGATTTTCAAAGAGAAGTTGCAAAGAGGAATGCAGAAGAAGAAGGAGAAGGGTCACCAAAGAAAGAACCAAGAGTAGACGAAGGAACTGGAGAGGTAGAAGAAAGAGTTGAAAAGGTGCCGAGACTTGGAGACGAAGCACGAGGAAGCGCGGCACGAGTGGAATACCACATTCGGAGATTCGCCAAGAGCGAGGATCCCGAAGAGCACGGAGATGAGTATGTTGACCTCGACGAGACACAGTTGTTTCTGGAAGAAAGTCGAGAGTTCCAGAGCAAGTGGAACGAGAAGGTGTGTGAGACAGAAGAGGACCTAACGGTTACTTGGTCTCACGAGTATGATGATGGGCCACCAAAGTTGGAAGATGAAGATTTGGAAAAGGTGGACCTGAAAGCAGAGAGAACAGAAATCGAGAGACTATTGGAGATGAAAGTTCTCAAAGAAGTGGAACTGGATGAGAATGGAGAGTTGAAGAAAGGACCGAATGGAGAAGAACCAAAGAGACTCAGTACAAAGTACGTGTTGGATTGGAGGCATAGGGACCTCCAATGGAAGAGGAGAGCCCGCCTAGTGGCGCGGGAGTACAAGTGGCTGACGGACTACGATCTCTCAGCGCTATACTCACCAACGAGTATTGGTTCGAGCATCAAGCTGTTATCAGCTTTGTGTGCGAGTTCAAGAGACTACGAGACGATCTCGATAGACATTTCGGACGCGTACCTTCAGGTGCCACAGAAGGAGTACACGGTTGTGAGTTTAGGAGGAAAGTGGTACCAGCTGCAGTACACCCTGCCGGGACAACGAACAGGAAGCAGTGATTGGTTTGAGCACCTACGAGAAATCCTGGAGAAAGAGAAGATGGTTTCCGATGTGGGGTTACCAAGTTTCTTCTACAAGTTTTCAGAGACCCCAGGAGAAGGTGGAACGCTGATGAGTACACATGTGGATGATTTGGAAGTGTTTGGAAAACCAAAGGAGAACCAAGCGGTGGTTGATCTGCTGCTAAAGCACAAGTTGAAGATAAAGCTGGAAGGACCAGTGAAGGTTGGAGAAGGAAAGTGTACTTTCTTGAAGAGGACGTTCTTAGGAACGAAAGAAGGAATTGAGATCAGGATGGACGGCAAGTATCTTGAGAAGTTGGAAGAGATTTTAGGTTTGGGAAAAGCCCTGCCGAAGAAGTTGCCGTTTCCAATGGATTACGGAAGATCGTTGAAGGACGATACGCCCTTGGATGCAGATGAACATCATCTGTATAGATCCTGTGTAGGAATCCTATTGTATATGACACCGGAGAGACCTGATTTGGGATTCGCTACGAAGTGGTTGTCTGGGAAGTTGGCAGCGCCAACGCGAGGAGACTTAGCAGTGCTTAGGCACGTGGCAAAGTATGTAAAAGCGACAGCCCACTACGTGATAGAACACAAAGAGGCATATCCTGGAAAGAGTTTTCTAGATCCAAGTGATAAGAGAACTGAGAATGCCTACAAAGATGTTTTTACGGCAAAGAGTTTGATCGAGGTAGTGACCGACGCCGACTGGGCGACCGATCGTGAGAATAGGCAGTCAACGAGCTGCGTGTTGATTTTCGTGAACAGTAACATCGTTTACTTTCACGCGAGAAAGCAAAAAGCGACGGCTTTGAGCAGCTGCGAAAGTGAACTGGTGGCAGCTGTTGGAGGTTTGAGTGAAGGAGTTTTTCTACAGAACCTGTTGCACACAGTTCTAGGGATTAGGCCGGAGATGGTGATTAGGATGGATTCTAGCAGTGCTAGGTCTATTCTCATGAAGAAAGGCCTAGGAAGAACGAGGCACATTGATGCAGGACTGCTTTGGGTTCAAAGGCTTACTTCTGTAGGTCTTCAAGTGAAAGCGATAGCTGGGAAGGAGAACCCTGCAGATGTAGGAACAAAGGCTTTGTCGAGGAATGCTGTTGTGAAGTGTTTGGAGAGAATCGGTGTGAAAACTGGAGAAGAGAGTGAAGAAGTCAGGATAGCAAGTGACTTCAAGATCCCTAATTACGAAGTATCTGAGAAGACTTGTGATGATGATGATGGTTCAGCAGTGTGACGGACTAAGAGATCAAAGCAGTAGAAGCAGTGAAGGTGGAAACCTTGGTTTGGTGATGATGGTGATGATGATGACGCTGGTTGTTATCATGGCTTGCAACGGTAGCTTGTGGAAGAGTCTGGTTGGAAGTGTTGAATGCATGTTTTATTCCGCCGCTGCCGTTTTTGACTCAAGGAAGGAAGTGAAAAGAGAGAAAGTGAAAAGAAAAGAAGTGAGGAGAAAAGAAATAGAAGAAAAAGAAGAAGTGAAAAAGATGGCCGACGACGCGGCCCTCAAGACAATGATCAGTGACGAATGCCGCAGCATAGAGTCCGTAACCCTATGCGAAAGAGAGCTCAAAAAGGAGCGAGAGAGGAGATTAACCCTGGATGCCCTATGGCCCGAAGTGCAACGCCTCAACCAAAAGTATGAGCCTAAAGAGGCGGCCCCGTCAGAAGCTGCAAAGACGGAGGTTAAAGTGCCTGAAGAGTTCAAGAAAACAGCCGAGGAATTGGCTGGAGAGGCACAGGGAAGCAAAGGAAGTGCCGAAGGAAGCCAGGCACAGGTTATGGAAGATAGAGTGAGCGAGCTGAGGCAGAAGGCCTTGGATGCTTCCGAGAGGCGAAGGGGCCAGAAGGAAAGGGCAAATGAAGCCGCAGAGAAGGCGAAGGAAACAAAAGAAGAAGAAGAGAAAAAGAAAGAGAAAGAAGAGGAGGAGCAAGAAGCCTCCGAAAGCGAGGAGAAAGTGAGTTCGGAGAAAGAGGAGGAAGAGCAAAGCTCCGAAAAAGAGGAAGAGAAAAAGAAAGGAGAAAAGAGAAAGAAAGAGTCTGAGTCCAGTGATGATGAATACAAGGAGATCATGGACAAAATGGCAAAGAAGTCAGTTCTGGAGGAGGAGAAGAGAGTGCAGGACCTGCTTGGGCAGATGCGAGTTCTGCAGGAGAAAGTGGACGAAAAGCGAAAGAAATTCACGATTTATTCGGACTTGTATACTTACAAGCAAAAACAGAAGAAGATCAAAGAGGAAGAAAGAGATAAGTTGATCGCAAAAGAGATAGAGGTGAAGGAAGAGCTGAAGCGGGTAGCGGACGAAGCGTTCGTTGCCAAAGAGTCCATAGATAAACAACTGGACAAGCTGAGAGCCGAAGAGGAGGAACAGGAAAATGAGGCTACATTGATAATGGACGCAGAGTCCGCCCTGCAGAAAGAGATGGACCAATTGAGGCCGAAACTTCAGACTGCACTGGAGGAGTTGAAGGCAAAAAGGAAGGAACTGCAGGTTCCAGCGGGTGGACTGCTTCAGGGCGAAGCTGAGCAAAAGCTGAAAGAGATGGAGAGCCAGAGGATCAAAGAGATTAAAGAGCTCCAAGAAACGAAAGAAAAGGAGATCAAGGAGGAGATAGACAAAAAGGATAAAGAGATCAAGGAGCTAAAAGAGTCAAAGGACAAAGAGATTGGAGAATTGAATGAAGAATTGAGAAAGCTGAAAAAGCGCAAAAGCAGTGCTGGGTCGACGCAAGGCCCATCGAATGAGGATGCAGAGAAGATGAAAGAGGAGCGCAAGAAAATGCGCGAGACTATCAAGGAGCTTGGAAAGAACAACAAGGCCCTCGAAGATGAGCTCCAGGTGTTTAAAGAGGAAAGCCGGATCAACGAAGATCCTGATGCGCAAAGCCAGGCAATGGTTTGCGCGGTATGTTCACGTTTTGGACATGGTTCCGAAACGTGTTGGGATGCCGATTACAATTATACTGCCTCAGGGCAGTATGCCCCAAAGATGCAAAGGGAAGAAATGAGTAAGGAACAGTTCCAATCCTGGTACAAGAAGAACGAATTGATAATTCGAAGAGCATACGCGAACAGGTTGGAGACAAACAAGAAAAAGTACCGCACAGACAACGCGGAGAAGGGCAAAGGAAAGAAAGCCCAGCAAAAGAGCGGCTAAAGGAGAAAAGGAAAAGAGAAGAAAGAAAGACCAAACCGGAGGTCTATAAAGAAAAAGGGAATCTGAAGGCTGAAAAGCCAGAGGGGGAACTTCGTTCCCAAATGAGGAAAGAGTTTTCTGAAAGTTGTACGACAACTGCACCACGAGAAGCCGAAGAGTTTCTTCACGAGGAGAGAGTTTAAAGAGTTTGAAGAGTTTGTGGCTTTTGGGCCACCGCGAGTTCTTTTGAGGCTGAAAGGCCAAAGAAGTGAACGAGTTTGAGAGCGGCCAGTAGGAGTAGCTCTGTTTCACTCGTCTCACACCACGACAAAAAGCGAGTGCACAACGAGTGTTTCAAAAGGAGGAAAGTGCGACTGTTTTGGGTTCGTTGCACCTCGAGGAAAGAAATGGCAAAAGAGGATGCACGAAGAGGGGGTAACAAACATTTCGCTTAGGAGTGTGTTGCCCTATAATCCTGTAGATGAGCTGTTTGCCACATGATTTTGTATAGTATGGAACAAATGTTCCACTGTGGTGTTTAGGCTCAAGGGACGCACCCAAGACAGCCGTGCGCCCGAGGAAAAGTGAAGTGCGAATATCTGTGTGAAGTGAAAGGGTCCGGAACGTACCCGTAAAGCGTTTTAACCTGAAAGCACAACTCAGACTCTAGGCAAACCATGGCCGCGCCTTGCTCGGCCCGCCGCCAGGCCTCAGTCACGGAAAGAAAAGGGGACCGATGCATGGTCTCATGTCGTTGGAGCAAAGCTGTACGTGTGCAGTCGGTTGCTTCACATTTTCCCCCTCATTCCCCCGACGATTGTCATGCGTACTGCATTGTGTGCTCTGGCCAGACATGTGCTGCAGCTGTTGCCGGCAGCAGCGTAGAGGGACTGTGACTTTTATGGGTCTCGCTTATCAGGTTGTGGGATGCCTAGCCAGGCACTGAATTGAAACCATGCACATGACAAGCTTAGAGAAGACCTAGGGCCAAGCGAGATTTCTGCTTGTCCAACCTGCACACGAACTGAAAGAAACCGCTTAAATCAAAGACATGGGGAACATCGCTGTACATAGATGCTTCCTCCGTTGTCACGGCTGCAATTGCCGCAGCAGCATTGCTCTTCTGTGTGAGGTCTTGCTTCTTTTCAAGCCATGCTTCCAAGTCATTCACCACGATCCACTTGGAGCCGGCTGTTGAGGCACAGCGACGTAGGACATCACAAACAGCTACGGCAGATTCGGCCAAATCTGGACTGATCCATAGGAATCTCTTCGTGCGCAGGGGTGGCAAGAACTTCAACGCAGGACCTGTGTAATCTCCACCCAAAGCCCAAGCTGGGCTCATGACCCACGCACCCTGCATAGCAGCGGCCCATATAGCCGACGTAGGAACGCCATCGCTATGAACACCTGACAAATCCGTGAGGCAAATCTGCGCACTGCAAGGATCGGCAGCCCAAGTCCAACCCAGACCAATTGCCAAGTTGTCGACGGCAGGTGTTCTGTCTCTGTCCAACATGTACACGTGGCAGTCACGCATGTCCGCCACGCTCGGCACTTTGCCAGCAGTCATGTCCGACTGCAGTCGCTGCTCTTTGCGTTGCCGGGCACGACGATTCCTCTGTGTCGTGGCCTTGACCTCGGCAGCGTCATGAAGGAAGGTGAGATCCATCTCGTCTTCGAGTAGGGCTCCGGCAAACAGTGCCTCGAATTTCCTTTTTTTGCGCTTGTCTCGATTGAATTCTAGCTCCTTTTGGTGCGATTCCAGCCACGCATCACCGTCACAAACACTTGCGGACTCTGCGGGTGCATTTTTTTGCACCACTTCTGCCACATTCTTTCTGCGGGCCTTGATAAATTCTCTGTAGCACTCTCGATCCTCGGTCGCAGCTTTCGTAGGTTTGGCACGGCCTTGGTCTATGCGATCAAAAGCACCCTGGCGGCTAGAGCCAAAGTGCTGCTTCCAGAGATTGGCCACCACCTCCATCCTGGAACGGACATCGTCTTCTTTCAAAGCCAAGAAAGACATGCGCAGGCTTTCCTTCTGCGGGTGAAGGTGCCTGGCTGAGGCTGGAATCTTGGCGGCTGCTTGGGAGAAGGATCGCTCAAGGGCTGAGTCCGAAATGCACGTGCTGGCATAGCCGCAGAGGACCACGTTCAGATGCTGGCAGGGGTGTCGGGCGGCGGTCTCTCTTCTCTCCTGGCAAAATTCAGGTTTTATCCGGCGAAGACTTTTGCCTAGGGGGTTGGGGTGGGGGAAACCCTTCAACGATATGTTGCCTATCAAACTACACACTGACTAGGACAAACTTGACTTGACCCAACACTGCTCCTGGCTTTCGTCAATAGCCTTCTTCCATGCACAGATATTTGTGCAGCCAGACTTCACAGCATGCCAGCGAGCTCTCCCACGAAAGTCCATCCATTCCACTTTGAGGGCCGCAAAGTTACAATCGAAGGACTGAGCTAGGCGCTCCAAATCTGTGCAGGCATCTGGGGGGATATTCTCGCTGTCCGAGGAAGAGAGGGCATCCAGGGAAGGCCAGGGATCACACACGTTGAGCACACGCATCGCCGCCACGGCTTCGAACTCTGGAAATTCTGCCTTAACCGTCTCCTCTGCCAACGCAGCCCAGACTTGAAGCCTTCGCAGGCAAGCCTGCTGCAGCCGCACTGGACAAGCGGTTGGACCTCCCAGGGCTTTGACCTTGGAGTTGTAGGCCAGCACATGAGGCGACGACAACCATGTCAGCATGCACTGTGTGTGGCCTTTGATGGCCAGCACTCTGCCCTCATTAAAGAGTAGGCGGATGGAGTCCAGGAATTTTTTCACCTGAATGTTTGCACGGGCTGCATCCACAACGTTCTCGTCTTGGTCCATCCATCTAATGAGCTGTAGGGCCTCGTCCCCCGCGTCGGCTAAGAGGGCTGCTGTCAGCAACACCTCGCTGTCCATTGCATCCAGAAATGCCTCCGCGCAATGGGCTGCGTTTGTGCCAGCACGCTCCCCTACCATACGAGTAGCCACAGCCAGCACGGCTTCAAGATCCAGGACGAATCGGCTGAGAGGAGTCACCAATGATTCGTAACGATGCAAAGCCGAACGCAGATTCCGGAATGGAGTGGCCACAGCTCGTGTCATGGAGGCCTTGGACGCCTCAGAAAACCACTGTTTAAAGTCGAAGCTGTGCTCAATCAACTGAGTAACACTGCTTGACCCAGTGATCAGGGAAGTCATGACTGCATCAAGAAAGGGGTCGGCCCTCCAGGGGCGTTCCAGGACCCTTCTGGTCCCATGCGCACGGTCCCGCACAATCAACTTGTGGTTTGGGAACAGCGTCTCGCCCTCGGCCAAGTGCTGGCAATGGACTTCAAGCGGTGCTGCCGAGTCTTGAACAGCTGCCACCTCATTGCCGGCCGCGTCAATCGTGGTGGACAGCACACACTCACGAATGTGTTGAACCAGGGACTCGTCCACCTCCAGCTGCAGCTCCTCCCCCTTCATCCCAGGCCGAGCCAAACCCGGCGTCGCAAATTCCCGGATGACCCTCAGTGTCGCTGCGGTCAATCCGAGGGCGGTGCTGGAGTAGTCGCCCTTTAGTTGGCCCAAAACCCCGTTCGTGACTTGCAAGGTCTTGTCCACCGCCCGGAATCGAAGCAAGACACGCTTGTGTCTCTCGTCTCTCAACAAGCAGATAGACACAGCATTTCGCAAGGATTCCCTCCACTGCTCGCGCGTGGCTTCGACGATGCACCATTCGATCCTACTGGTTTTCTTCTCGGCCGACACACCTTCTACAAAACGGTCCGTGGTATCGCCCTGCAACTGTCTGAAGACTTGAAGAACGACTTCCGCCCCAGGCCATCGCACTGCAGCTGTTTCTTTGGTGGGAACCTCGTAGCCCAATAACTTGCACACGTTCCGCACATGCTCCGGTCCACTGCCATGCCTCGACAGCTTATTGGCAGCGGCAGCCTGCTGAGTCGTAAACTGTACTCCTTTGTCGCCAGAGCACACACTGCACCCAAGCAGCATGCGCTGAGGCTCCCCTTGAAACTCGTAGTTCAGCCACGACACGCCCAGCAGGTCCTGCGCCTTTGCTAGAGTCTCGGCAGGAGCTTCTTGTAGAGCCTCGAGCACTTCGGGGCTGATCAACTGGCACTTTTCTTGCAGGGATGGAAGGCGATGCCCGGCAGACTGGCACGCACAATCTGCTGTCTTGCAGCTGGTCACATGCTGCCTGACATCTTCCGGAGTGCCTTTGCAAGGCTGCCGCTTCCACTTTCCCCGGGCCATGTCGCCTACTACCGAAACTAGTTCGGAACTGCCAGAAAACGGACAACAGGAAATCTCGCTATGCCCTAGTATCCTAGCCCTAGCCAGTACAGACTAGGACAAGCCAAAGAAAACCACGGCTGCAGCATGGTGGCCACCCTTGCTTGATGGCAAAATCACAGAAGCGTCGAGGTCCACTACGCGATCCCAAAAGCACGGTCAAAATAGCATGCGCTTACAAGCACTGTCGCTGCTCTCGTGATGTGAAGAACGTGAGCGCAAGCCTCCGCCTGACGAAGACAGAAGCGAAAGCCTCTCAGTGCCGGGCTGTCCGGTCGCACTGCGCGGAACTCCGGTTCTGTTGCGAGGCGCACCTTCGTATTTGCAAAGCTGAGGCTAAGTCGACGCAGCAAGGGCCGCGCGAGGTATTGGACGAGTCACAACTACCTCACTTCTTTCAGGCTTGCCTACGTGCAGGCTACCCCTGGCTGGCAGTGCTGACCCTGCTGCAGACAATGCTGGCAGAAAGAGCAGACTGCGCTCGACAAATTCAAGTGTCATGGTTTCGGGACTTGGATTATAGCCTGGGCAAGCCTGCACAGATCAGGATTCAGAAAGTCAATCGCAAAACAGTTTGCAGAACGACCCCTCTGGCGAAAGACTTCGCCCATGCTTTGTTCGATTGGATGCATCATGAGCCTCTGAAAGGAGCTGGTCAGACGCAATGGCCCTACCAGGGACAAGACCTATCTCTCCGCGAGGTGTACCTCTTCCCAGGCATGGTGACTCGAGGCCGGAACCACGGCCAGCGTGACTGGAGGCGACCAGTCTCGGAGCGAGGCTACCTGAAGGCAATCTCTGTGGTGGCTATGCTGCTGGAGAGGGAACGTCGACTATCTAGCGGTGGCCATGTTATGGAAGGCGTGGACTTACGGAAGCTTGGCACTCACACCTTCAAAGCAAGTGGGATTACTCTCATGAGGGAGCTTGGGCATGCTCCTCAAGTCGTCTCGGCCATTGCCGCGACATCAATTGAGACCATTGACCGCTACTATGACAGACCTACGCCAAAACGGCAACGAAGGTGTGTCGAGGACTCCTTCGCCCAAGTCTTCTCCCATCCTACTGGAACATCGGCTGCAAGAACAGATTCCAAGCCCGCCTTGTCAGCCTCCGTGGCAGTGGACGGAAGAGTCCTGCCACCGAAGAGGGCAAAGTTCTGCTCTGAATGTGGGAAGAAACGCCTCTGCGAAGAACACCTTTACTGCCCTTTCTGCCGCAACACATATGACACTTGAGGAATATGGCTGGATCTATCGTCCAGCGGCTGCACACTCCTGTGCCGTCGTCTCACCCCGGGCACCCCGGCAGCCCAGCGAAGGAGAACCTCGAACTAGAGAGTCTAGTGAGCAGTACTGCAAGTACAATAATGAGTATGGACAGAATCACGGCACGAGGCTCTCAATGCTTCCTGATTTGGATCCCATAGCACGCACAGCTTGAATTTGCTAATGCAACACTGACTCCTGAACCACAGCTCTCGGCGTGAGAAACAGAGGACGCCTCGAGATTTTCATGCCGCAACCATGTGCAGGCAGGAACCCAAAGAAAACTGTTCGTATCGTCAAGTCCCCTGAATCTGTAGCACTTGGAGAACCCTACGAGGACACGGCGGCATCCGCTTGCCCGAAGCCGTTGTGTGGATAGCCTGAGTCACGCAGAGTACGCTAGAACGGAACGCAAGACATTGAGGCGTTTAGGGTTTAGGGTTTAGGGAGGTGGCTGTTGAATCTGATGCACAGAACCAGCTCAATGCACAATATCCATGGTCATCGTGTCAGCGTGCATGTGCTTAAACTGGCCCCCTCCCCCTGAGCCTGCCGAAGATAAAGAGAGTCGGCCACATCCGGAGTCCTGCGGAGAGGGTGAATGACATGGGTGTGCTACATGGAAGACTGACCGAGGCACGATGGAGCACAGCCGACCGGAGCGCAAGCTTGTTTTTTTTCCATGCGCCATGCTCACGGACGACATCTATGGGAAGAGCCCGCACAGCTAGCCCCATGGCGAATCTTGTAACTTCTGTAGTTGTTAGGATCATATTAAATCGTAGCCTAGCGGGCCTTCCTCTTGCGAGTGCCAGCGCTGGCAGCCTTGGCCTTGGCTTCGGCAGCTGCTGCATCGGCAGCTAAATTGGCAGCTCGTCGAGCCTCTCTCAGGCGAGCGGCCTCAGCCTCGACCTCCGGAGCCTCACATGTTGCGACGCCGTGACACCTATTCTATATAAACTACACTCTTAAAGAAAGGCCTCTAGAAACCGGAAGATAAATAGTGAGCAAAGGCTCGAAGACGTCATAGCCTGCCGTATGCCCGCTTTCTTTATGGTACCAAAACTTCTCGTTCGTCTGGTAGACGTGCCAGAGCTTCCATCCTGACGCTGCCATTACGTCTGCGCCCTCGACGTGCCAGGGGTTGATCTGAGATTGCAGGAAATGCTTTTGAAACCCTCGGTTCTCTGATTTCGCTACCGACCTAAGAAAACCAAGCGTAGTCTTGCCAAGTCTCCGAGTTCAGCAATGCTGGACGCTTCCAGGTCACTGTACGAGCTTCTTCATTATAGTAATATGGTCTCGCGCCAGCCAAGCACTGCTTCCAGCCATTCACCAGTGGGACATCCTCCTACAGAGCTAGGTCATTAACTGAGTGAAACGGAAGCCTTAAGGCCTTACAATGACCACTCCCGACAAGATTATAGTTCTTTACATAGATAACAAATTTGAAGGCCGGGATGCAGCAGAAGACTTGGGCACCAATTTGAACCATGTCTCCTGAGATGTTGCTTGCCTAACTTTTATAAGCGCCTTCGAGTAACAACAGCCTTACAACACATGCTGAACATCCGAGTTTCAGCCGGCGCATCTTCACATGTAGCATCCTCGGCAGGAGCCTGCGCGGCAGCGGAAGACCCAGAAGACGGCCCGGGCTCAGCAGGAGCGGGCTCTGCACCGCATTTCAGCTGCTGTTCCAGCTGCTGCCTCTGCTCTGAGAGCACCTGCGCACAGGCATGTAGGCAGCTCGACAAACCCAGGCCAACCCTGAAGCCCTGTATGGGATTGGAACAGGGGATGACCAATGACCGCCAACAAACCCCCGATCCCTCAACACCCTGAACTGGCCTCGGTCATGGTCTGCACCGTGAGCTCCTGCGCTGCGGCATCCACAAGCCTGCTGCACGATGCCTCCAGCATCTCCTCCTGCTGCCTCTGCTCCATGAGCACCTGCACGCAGGCATGTAGGCAGCTCGACAAACCGTAGATAGCCAGGCCAACCCTGAAGCCCTGTATGGGATTGGAACAGGGGATGACCAATGACCGCCAACAAACCCCCGATCCCTCAACACCCTGAACTGGCCTCGGTCATGGTCTGCACGCAGAGCTCCTGCGCTGCAGCATCCAGGAGCCTGCTGCACGATGCCTCCAGCATCTCCTCCGAGAAAGCGCCAGCTGCGGATGGTGCCACCTGTGCAACCCGTTTCTGGGAAGAATGAAGCTTCAGCTTAAAGTCCATAATTAGCAGATATGGAGGGTTTGCTTGAATGGCTCAGGATGTAACTTTTCCAATCGAAGCTTTGAGCTGCCTGAGGTCTCGGAGGCACCACTGCTCCAGCTCCGGAAGGCCGCTGAACCTCACTACATTCAGGGGGAGGATTTTGGCTGAAAAACCCTGAACCGAAGCGGCCTGTCTTGGCTCTCGTGGTGCCAGGCCAGCTGCCTGCCAACCGCCGCGATGGCCACCGTGGGCCAATTGCCGCCACGTGCGCCAGTCCATCGCACGACGCAGGGCGAGAACGGACAGTAAGGGATCTTATTGTTACGCTTGTGAGGCTGCGACACCTACTTCTGATAGTGATGGCTGTGATCACATTCGGGGCATGTCAAGTCGGAATGTGTTTCAGGCATTCGGGTTAAATCGGAGTCATCTTGCTGGGCAGGGTCACGGAGTTGAAGAAGCCGTTTCGCGAAATCGTCGTCTATGACACAGTGCTTTGGCCGCGTAGAGGCTTTCGATTTACTTGAGAGATTCGGGGGTTCAGGGTTGGAGGTTCAACACTGTTTCTTTTGCAAGGGGACTGTGCGTTATAATGACGAATGCAAGCACAGAAGGATTTTAAGGCTCCTGAAGTGGGTACGGTGCACAGGGTCCATCGGCTGTCAGTGAGAGCAGAGTTCTGCCCTTCGATGGTCAGCATAATTTAGGGTTTAGGGTTTAGGATCTTCAGGGTCCTAGGTTTTAGGTTGAGGGTTTGCTGGTGTTGGGCTCGGGTTGGCGGGGCTTGGGGATTCGTTTGCAGGGATGCAGGGATACAAGGTTTTTGGGAATTTCGGGTTTGGGGATACTGGGATGGACAAGCCGTACAATCACTTGGACTGGGGTAGGCAAACAAGGGGCCAAAGACCAACACTACCGTGGGGGTTCCTTACTATGGTTATAGTATAACATACCCCAAAAACCTTACTCTCACCATTTAAGGCCCCTCGGTCCTCCATCGATCGTTGAAGTTGTAGCCACTTGTCTGGCCTCGGCCACGCATAGCTTCTTCTAGACGGGCTTATGCACCGTCGCCAGATGCGGTGATTCCGGACTCCTAAAGTACATAAACCCTAAGTGGATTCCCCAGCTGTAGCGAATTGACAACATAGGGATTGGGTATGTCCAACTTGCAGAAATCGAAGTTGCTAGATACCTGAGACGGACGCCCATTCCTAAGAACAAACGTGTGTCCCGCACCTGAATAGCTCCCAGAAGAAAAAAAAACCCAAGCCAGGAAAACCCTGACACAGGATCGGAGAGGGAATTTCTGGGGAGAGGACGCCCAGAGTGAGCGCCGTGTTGCGATTCCCTCCTGGACCTGGTGAGGAGTTTAGGGTCTTTCAGGTGGTTTTCGGGCGCAGGACAGGGTTGAGGTAGGGGTTTAGGGATTTACAGTTTAGGGTTTTGGATTTGGGATATATTATATGGCGACACCAGGGTTTGCCTGCAGGTCCAAGGACCGATCACCCGAAACCCAAATTCCTGGTCTGACCTGAACCCTAGAAAAATCCAGAAGCCTTAGAAGCATTCCCCTAATCATTACCTAATCCCTCAGCCCCGATATCCCAATTCCCACAGCCTTAGGGTTTGGGGTTTATAAAGTATTAGGGCATATAGGCCAGCCCCCAAAGCTATTGGAACCCTATCCGCCGACTAAGGCGCAACCGTATCGCCCACTAAGGCGCACCCCTATCCTACCTATCGCCGACTAAGGCGCAACCCTATCCTATCGCCGACTAAGGCGCAACCCTATCCTATACCGCCGACTAAGGCGCAACCCTATCCTACCGCCGACTAAGGCGCAACCCTATCGCCGACTAAAGCTAAGGCGCAACCGTATCCTATCGCCGACTAAGGCGCAACCCTATCGCCAACTAAGGCGCAACCCTAGCCCTATGACCTCTTCAGTAAGTTCTAAGACTACAAGACTAGAAGCCGGGCTATCTGACGCGTGGCCTGAGGGCCCCCGCCAAGGATGAGATCGACCGTGGCCAACGCCGCACATAAGACGCAGGGAGGGCAATGAAGTCTGAATCCAAGGTTTCAAAAAATGGGTCATTCTATAATATTTAATAAGATGTACCTTTGGGGACCAAGAGGAGTAGTGGTAGCGGTACAATTGCTCGTGGTAGTATAGTGGAACATATTTACTGTACTCGGCCTCAGCAAATGCTTTACTGAACTCTAGTACTTTACTTGACTCTTGACTCCAGATGAAGGAAGCGGGAGCAGAGGTTGTTTACCAGCATTTACGAATACTTTAATTTTGCTCCGACGGAGAATACTCTATTTTGGACTACTCACAGATGTTCATGTTACTCGGCATTTACGAATACTTCAAATACCTTACTCGGGTTTAAATACTGTCGTTTTTTACGAATAAGACTTTCCGGCAAAGTCTTGTTTCCTGGCTGCGGGACGCGGCTCAGGGGCAGGTTCCGGTTCCGGGTTCTGGAATACCGGGGGTTTCCGAACCCTGGAATACCTGGTTTTTATATGCACCACCGGGAATACCTCCGAACCTTCTGAATCCCCTTGTTTTCTATGACACATATGATACGCCCTTTATATGATACATATGATACGATGCTGATTTAACACAGTCCCTTGATCTTGACAATGCAACAATGCCGAATGGCATTGGCTCAAGACTGAATGAACGCAACAATGCCGAATGGCATTGGCTCAAGACTGGATTCGGCATTGG